AAAGGGTAGCCTGAGCACATGAGATGGATAGATAGATATGGAATTCATTACTCATTATTATTATTTTGAGATGAATGATGTGTTATTGATATGCTATTTAGAATGCTCTCTCTTGAACATAAATATAAAGGTTTTTATATCAATAGATGTACTTAGAAATTGAGTCCTCGATTTTTTTTTTTTTGATGGCTTTTAAGATTCTTAACTAGGAATTTTCCTGCTTCAAGAATTTTGAAACTAGGTTTAGAACACTTTTCTGTGCTACAATTAATTAGGACTGCAGAGAAACTTGATTTTGTGATATCTATAGGATCTGGGTTGAGGGCCTGATTTTCAAATAGTGATGTTTCTGTGTGTTTATTAAAAAAGATGTTTTTACTACTTTTTGCTGTTAAATATGAAAGTTAATGAACCAGCTACAAACCATTTAAAATATCTATAAAGCAGATATTCTAATACATTGTCAGCACTTTAATAATCTTGTTTAATATTAATTTAAAAGCAGATATTCTAATACATTGTCAGCACTTTAATAATCTTGTTTAATATTAATTTAAACATAGTTTAAAATAAAACATACTCTTTAGACTTATCACTGCTTAAATCATGTAATATAAATTGATCTGATTTATAGGTTAAGTGAACATTCCCTACTTCCCTAAAAATCAGATTTTTGACTCATATTCATCATATATACTTTTTTTTTTCAACCTATGTACTTTTTTTTTTTTATAGAGGCATGTTTTATTTATTTATTTATTTGTTTGTTTGTTTGTTTTGTTTATACATGCACTGGGTACAGTCAGAAGCGCGGGAGGGTGAGAGAATTCACCAGAGCCAGAGCAGGGAGCAGAGCAGGCAGAGGGACCGAGGTACACTGCTGAGGGGAGCAGTGGGCGGCAGGGGAGGTCTGCGCGCCATGTGGGACCCTCCTCCGGTGGCCGGGGAGCAGCCAGGGATCGAACTGGCGCCGCAGAGGCTGCAGGCAGCTTCGCAACCCAGCGCTCAACCGCTGCGCCACCGGGGAGGCCCCATCATATATACTTTTAACCCAGTACTCCAAATAGTTGCAATTAAGGGCAGCAAAGCATCTTTCCCACATATTGTACTTTCCTGAGTAATGTGGTAACTGAGTTAGCCCTGTGTGAGTTCCCTCCTATACCTCTACAATTTCTATTCTGTAAATCTGAGACTGGTCTTTTAACTAAAGCCAGGCAAAGCTTGGACATTTTCTGACCTGTTACTGCTGAGAACTGCTACTAGTATACACTAAATATGTATGAATCTGTTTGTGGTTAAGAGTTTTCCCTTGACATTTTCTACACTTCATGGTCTTTCAGATAAATCTCATCAGTTATAAACTAGGGAGGTTTTACTCTAAAATCTGAAATGTTGCTGCATGATCAAGTTGTTCAAAGTTTTGCACACCATGCATCCGATAAGGGGCTGGTATCCAAGATCTACAGAGAACTCATACAGCCCAATACAGTTAAAAACAAACAAACATGTGTTTATCTTTTTTGAATGCTGAGTAATATTCCATGCAATTTGCAGCAACATGGATGGCGCTGGAAGGGATCATGCTCTGCGAAATAAGCCAGAAAGAAAAAGAAAAATACCGGATGGTCTCACTCATAGCAGGAATCTAGAAAACTTAAATAAAGGACCAGGAAAATGAATAACTATAAGAAAGTGAAAATCAAAATCAACAAAAAACTATGAACCAGAGACACTCTATGGGGGTAGGGGGCAGGAGGGGAGGGATTGGGGTCAAAATAAGGGGGTTGCAATTGTATGGGGAATATAAAAATAAAATTTATTATAAAACAAACAAACAAATAAACAAATAACCCATCAAAAAAATTGCAAAGGAGCCACATAGACACTTCTACAAAGAAGACGTGTAAATGGCCAATAGGCACATGGAAAAATGTTCATTGTCACTTACCACCAGGGAAATGTAAATCAGAACCACAATGAAATATTGCCTCACACATGGGAGGACAGTCCATATCAAAAAAACAGATCAACAAGTGTGGTGAGACTGTGGAGAGAAAAGAGCCCTCTTACACTGATGATTAGAATGTAGACTGGTCCAGACCCTATGGGAAACAGTATGGGAGTTTTGGAAAACAGTAGGGAAGTTTCTCAAAAGATGGATCTTCCAGTGACCCATTTCCACTCCTAGGCATCTATGTAAAGAATACAAAAACACCAATTCAAAAGGAAATATGCACTCCTATGTTCATTGCAGCACTATTTACCATGGCCAGACTATGGAAACTACTTAGGTGTCCCCAAACAGATAAATGGATCAGAAAGATGTGGTATATATACACAATGGAATTCTACTCAGCTATCAAAAAAATATATGCTCTTTCCATTTGCAACAACATGGATAGAGCTGGAAGGGACTGTGCTAAGCGAAGTAAGTCAGAAGGAGAAAGATAAATATCAGAAGGTGTCACTTACATGTGGAATATAGAGAAATAAAATAAAGGGTCACATAAAGCAAAACCAGTAACAAATCCTAGAAATATGATGGTAGAAATGAGGCTACCAGTGGGGGGGAGGGGCCGAAGAGGGGAGGACAAAGTGGTGAGGTCACACAGTGGACAGTGGTGGTAGCTGTGCTATGGCAAAACCTGAATGGGGAGATCCAATACTTTAACACACAGTGTTTTAGACCAGTGTTACTACCTCAATCAATATAGAGAATATTTACATGGAAGTATTGAAAAAGAGAAGAGACAATCCTTTTGAAAATACTTGTTTATATAAAATTACTGGGCAATGATAGAAACTGTTGATTGGGTGAAATGATTCACTCTGATTTTAAAAGCAAGAAGTCTGAAATGAAGAAAAAAGAATATCTTTAGGGGAAGAATTATGCTTTGTTTCAAGATAGATTTGCTTTATTTTCTGAGTAATTTTCACATGGAAAGTTTATTTTTTTTCTAGCTATACCATTTCATTAAATAAAGCTAAAAACTAATAATCAAAAAAGAAGGAAATGCTATGGTCTCCCTCCAAAGAGGAGGATCTTTCTGCTTGGACATAATTTAGGATCTCTGTAAAAGACAAAATGAACAGGAATTTGGGCCTGAATTGACCAGCAAATGCCTTGGCAAACTGTTCTGGGGTGCTGTCTGCAGTTGTTAATTGTCCACTTTGTGACCTCTAATAGCTCTTGGCCTCCTCTTGGCTCTACCAAATGTGTGTTTGTTTGTTTTTTTTTTTCTTCTAGATTCTATATTATTCCTCTTGGGACAAGACAAACGCAAGTGCAACATTACTGATCCTTTTTTTAAAGTGTAAATTGTAGAAACAATTTTACAAAAGTCTTTGATTATGCCTTCTGAACATTTAGAGGACATAATCTGCTCCATTTTGGTTTCCAAAATTTTTTCCACTTCTTTCTACTTTCAGTATTGTGTAAATGGAAATGAGTTCTAGATGAGTTGATGATGAGACTGAAAGGCAGAAGGAAGGATAACCCTCTAAAACATGAGCCCTGAAATCACTTTCTATTTTGGAGAAGCTTGAACTCTAAAGATCCATTTTTGCTTTATCATCTCCCTTGTCTGTTATCCAAAGCAGTTGCTCTAAGCCTTTTATTTTTCTCATCAAGATTCTTTCTCATTTCCTTACACTTGGAAGATGATCTTGTTCTCGATCAAAAATGAAACAACAACTCTGAACTCACACAAGTTCACTTCTCCAGCCTTAAGCCAATGTGCATACCAATTTTGTTTCCCTCCTGCTTGCTAGGAAAAAAATGTCTTTCTAAGACTGCTTTCTTCAATAATTCTATAGACCACCCCCAGTCCTCCTACCTAAGGAATTTTGTTCCTTCAGTTATTCTCACCGTCTCTTAAATCTTAATGCTTTCTTCTGACTCCTTCCACTCTCCAGTGCTCAATTTTTTCCTCATCCTAACAAATTCTTCCCACAGTATTGCGCATCCCTTAAGCACATAATGTTTTGAAAGAATGATCTATAGTCACTGTATATGCTTAACTCCCTTTTCACATGTCCAATTCCATTCAATCTCCATTCTATCCCTTCTCTAAAATTGTTCTTGTATATATTTTCAGTGATTCCCCAATTGCCAATTCCAGCGGTCACTTTTCTACCTTTGTCTAACTTTTTTTGAGGCAATAATCACTCTTAATCCCTAACTTAGAGGAAAGTTTTTAGTATTAACTTTTATGCTCAGGGTTTGGGTATGTTCATTTACCACTGTAAGATTTCCCCTGTTTTGGTACGTAATTTCAGATTTAAAGAGACTTTATCACTTTGAACAGACTCCAGTTAGTATGGTGGAAGCTATGTTCTCATGGGTCAAACCGCTTTGTATTATAATTGTTATAGAACCACATGCCTCCCTCCCCTTTTTAAAGCAAAAATAGAACACTTGATTTAAACTAGTTTAGAAAAAATAGGATCTTGTATTTATGCAAAAAATTTATTACCTACCTTGCTTACTTTTCCACAAGTTATTAAGGCCCTCAGATTTTTAAAAAGGCTTTTATTGACATGCCATTGGTTTATATCATTGTTAGTATTTTAAAAGTATAGAATCTTCCCATTCGGGGATAGTCACCATCGCGGACCCATCACCAAAGCACCCATAGTCCAATCAAGAAAATGTGGTGATTATCAGGCCTCCCTGATGGCGCAAGGGGATAAGTCTCAGCACTGTGAAGCTATCAGCAGCTACTGTAGCACAAGTACTATCCCGGCCAGAGAGCTGACCCACACAGTGCAGCAGACCTCTCTTATCTCGCCCACTGCTCCCTTCAGCAGTGTATTTCAGTAGATCTGCCTGCTCTGCTCCCACTGTCTCTTCCCTCCCCGCTTCTGGCCTGTACCCCAGTTCTTCTACATAAAAATAAATAAAGTCTTTAAAAAAAAAAAAAGAAAATGATGGAATTGACTGGCTCACTCTCTGTTGATAAATATATCTCGATAACATATTTCTTAAATTCTCTTTATAGAGGGACCTGTCAGGGCATAAAAACATTGTGGGCTACATTGACTCCAGTATCAACAATGTGAGTAGTGGTGATGTTTGGGAAGTTCTCATTCTGATGGACTTTTGTAGAGGTAAGTATATGCACCAGACTCGTAACTCTCATTTCTCTAATACTTGGTTGTAAGGACATGGGGGGTCATTTCAGTTAATGTGCCCTCTACCCCAATATTTTCTGTTCAGCTTTTAAAGTTTAGAACACTAAGGTTAAAAGATACAAAACCAGTTGTCGCCTCTTAGTTGTTCTTATTAGGACAAGAATCATGGGCACCAACGCTTCAAAGTGGTAGATAATACAAAACTCTATTTTTGTTAGGTTTAGGAAGATTTGGTGCTTGTATGTGAATGAGATTGAGAAAAATGTATTCTTTGTGATGCTTTAAACAAATAATGAAGGCACATAATAAACACCCAACTCCAGATGGCTAAGGAAACAATGCTGCTTCCCCCCTCCCTCCCTCATGTGTTCTCTTCCCCACCCACGCCACCATCCTTGTGTTATGGGGTAAAAGAATCTTTTTCATCTAGTGGAAATGACCCTCTTCTCCTTGCTCAAAGAGCTGTGATTTTCTAGTAAGACTACATTTAACTGTTGTTGCTGTTAACAGTGATATTAAGTACTTGGAGTTTCAAACATTTATCTTGGGAAATCTAGGCAGTAACATGAATTTATTCAGAGTTGACTGCTTTTCATACAATCCTTGTTTGGAGGTTTGACTCTTTTTGGCCTGAGCAGCTGCCACTTTCAAGCTTGGGTCATTGTCTTGCTGTTTGGTGCCCTGTTTCATAATTGCCCTTAATTCCATTATCATTTTCCTTGCCCTTAAAGATAATATCCATAAGTTGAATATGTTGCTATTCAAAAAAAATGTGATGTTAAGCAGTAATTTCAGGCATTACTGTAATAACTATCAACCTGGTTTTGTAAAATGCAACCAGATTTTAACTTGGCAGTTTGTTTCTTCTTCTCCATTCCTTTTGGACAGTAAAATGTTTAGACAGGAGAGTATACAAGGATTTGGATAATTTTATAAGTAAGGTCATCCACTTTTTGGTCCTAGAGATTAAATGTTGGTGTAGCATTTCTACAGGCCAAGTAACAAGCAGTGAAGCCAGACAGACTGAACTGTACAAATTATAAAGCTGTCTTCCTGCTCCTGGAATCTTTTGTACAATCTGATTCTTACTAAAAGATTGCAAGTTGAATCCGTGGCATTATTTAGTACACAACAAGGACAGCATAACCAGGCATATGTAGCAGGACCATATTGTCTGTTCTACTACTAGTCTTAAAGACATAATGAAGGCAGTTTCCATCTGGGATGCCTTATAAAATAAAGAACTGTTTTTGATGTATTAGAGGAGGCACTGGATTATAAGAAAACAAACCCCGCACTGAGAATCAAGACACATGGGTTTTAGTCCTGACTCAGCCAGTGATCAGCTCTTGTCACCTTAGTCCTGGTTGTTCCTCTGTAGATAAGGGTTCACTGTGTGGGTCTGTGATGAAATCTCCCTGTTTGTAACCTCTCTTGTTCTGCACTCTTCTCAGGAGGTCAGGTGGTCAACCTGATGAACCAGCGCCTGCAAACAGGTTTTACAGAGAATGAAGTGCTCCAGATATTTTGTGACACCTGTGAAGCTGTTGCTCGCCTGCATCAGTGCAAAACTCCTATTATCCATCGTGACCTGAAGGTAACAGACCACACTATTTTCAAAAGTGCCTTCTTACTCTGTATTTTCTATGTCCCAGGGTGGGCTCGCTGCCACCCTGATATGAGTCAAGTTAAAGCATGATCCCAAATTCCAAGCTTAAATTCTGCTTAGAGAGAGAAAATACAGAGAAAAAAAGAAATAACAGTATAGTACAGATACTTGTTTTATTATCTAAATAACCTTTTGAAATTCATTATAATCGTCAAAATGCCTGAAGAAACTCAGAAGCAAAGAAACGGGTTACGTGATTTGCCTAAGGTCATATCACTAAGAAGGAACCATATCAGAATTTGAATCCAGCGCTTCTGATTCTAAATTATAATTTCCTTTCATTATACTTGTGTTTCAAGAAACATCCTTCGTTGGCTAGTAACTCACGTCAGCATCTATTAGTGTGCTTATTAAGTGCACACTGCTGGTTTCCACAGTGAGTTTATTAGGCTAGAATTTTGGTGATGGTGTTACCAATGCTGAGGAATTCACATGTTAAGAAGCAGCCAGGTGGTATTTGGTTATTCTAAAGTTTGAGTATCTTATATGCATACTGGCATTTTTCTTTGTTTAGCTTTAGCAAATATTGTGATATAATTCAAATACCATAAAATGTACCCTTTAAAAGTATACAGTTCAGTGACTTTTTTATTTACAAGGCTATTCACAAGTACTTAATTCTGTGTGGGTGTAAAGATATAACATCATCCCTACTCTTAAGATGTTTAAGGTACTAGCGAGAGGAGAGGAGTGAAATATTTAGACTTGAAACAGAAATAGGTGAAATATAAATATTTATTGAACAAAGTGATGAAGAGTCTCAAGTGGCTCAATATGTGGTCAGATAGTGATATCAGGCAATGGTAGTTGGAATCTTGTGGAAAAGTGGGATTTTGTAGCACTGGTTGGATATTGGTAGTCCCAGAAAGAATGAAGGACATTGAGGCAGAGAACAAACCCTGAGAGCTGCCTATAGAAAACCACAAGGAGTGTGAGGATAAGGAATAACTAAGGGCCAGGTACTTGACCAGTTGGAGACGAGGCTGGAGACCACTTCTTTGAGTTTGTATTGACACTTTATTCCTTGTTGTCTTTAATAATGAGTGAAATTTGTTGGGCCTAATTACACACATTTCTAAATAGGCAGTGGAAGCAACATTTTAGGACATGCCTGTCTTGGAGAAGTTTGGAGGTATAGAAGTAGAGGGAAAGTATAGGAGGGCAGTACCAGCACTGGTCTGTGACTATGGGCACTGCCTCTGACCCATGTGACCTTGCACCTCTCTGGAATCTCATTTTCCCCCTCACGCCACATAGGGTTTGATTTCATATTGGAACTCTTGATTTTCTAGAACTCAAGGTATGACTTGTACAAGTAGAATTGTAAGCACTGTGAGAGATAAACACAGATAGTGTCCTCCATATTGTCAGATACAAAGAACACTTTTCAGTCCCTGCCTTATTCTCTTCCCTGAGGCTGTTTACTCCTTTGTGGACATCTTCTGTGACCTCTGTGACATCGTACTCTCCTGGGCTTCTCCTCAGGCTTCTTGGTTTGTTCTTCTATTCACTTAGCCCCTGAAGTGGAGTCCACAATACCAGCTTTGTTAGGGTGGTAGTAAGGTTAAATGAGAGCATGTATGTCAGTCTCCAGAAACATTTTTGTCATCTTAAGTTCTGAAAGGGCACAGGGGTTAGCAAGGGAAGGAGATAGAAAGGGTTATCCAACATCCTGTTAGAGTGTTCTTTTCATGTCCTTAAACAAAACCTTGCATTATTTTAACTTTTTAATCATTTAATAGATTGCATGAGGCCTAAATGATAATCATTTCATACCCATGCAGATAAAACCCACCATGTTTATATACCCACATCATTTTAATATCTTTTGATGTCATGGTGCTGTTGGGAGGTAGTGGTAAGCTTTGCACAAGGTACAGTGTTTAGTGTCTATCCTGGGGACACAGAGTAGGTCAGTGTGTACTCAGGCAGCATGAGCCATCACTCTTCCATCACTGTACTAAACTGCCCATGAGATGTTTCAGCAGAGTAACATAGAGCAAGCTGGTGTGGGAAGGTAAGGTCGTGGCTAGAGCAAGAAGCTGCTATACCTCGTTCCCCAGCCTGGCCTCAGCTCTGTGCCCTGCCTCTTCACAGTGTTCCTAAGATACAGCTCAATACTGGGAGTAGAGTATTGGGCTCAGGAGTTGTGTTTCAATCCATGTTGAAGCCCATCAGGCATACTACTGATTGGCCACTGGTGGTTCAGGATATTTTGTTTTCCTTTCTCTTTTCCTTTGGAAATACGGAACAAAAGTGGAGGTCTATGGCATGAGGCTTTGTTTGTGATTGTTATAGAGAATTCCTTGTGTTATTTTTATACTTGATGTTAGTCAAGAGATCAAGAAATGATGTTGTCATTTTTAGTTGTTGACTTCTGTTTTGATTGGAACTTTTCCAGACTCCCCAAATCTTACACTCAGTCCCATCGACATGCTTTCATCATCAGCATGTTACATTTCTCGTTTTCTAGTAGTATGTATTGGTGGGGAGTCACATTTGCCTGCTGCATTACCATCTTCCTCATGCCTGAGTGAGAAGTCCCCATGTCTTACCCGTTTGCCCTGGCTCTGTCATTGTGTCACATGGCCTTAGCCACTTAGAGCTCCATGTCACTGCTGGGACCAACCACCACAGTTCTGGTGGTAGCCACAACCAGGAAGCTCTTCACTCTGGCGTCATCCAGAGAAAGTTCTGGATGCTGGTTTCTTGGTTCTCTGTGAGCAGGATTTCCATTTGGTGAATAAAGTCTGTGAATAAAGCTCTGGGAATAAAGTCACAAAGACCAGGCCAGTTGGGAACCCCCTTGTGGAGCCCATGCTGCCCTGTGTGGGGGTCTGCTGGTTCACATACAGAACAGAGAAAAGCCCCTTCTGCCCTGCTCACGATGTGTATGGTTTTTCTTTCAAATTACATATAGGAAGTCGGCGAAAGCAGTCCTTTAAGCAGCTTATATTCTAAAAATAGCCATAACAGAAGTACTGTTCTACATTGAAAGCCTCTCCTCAAATGCATTAACATTTTAATTTTTTTCCCCACTTTTGTTTTTCATCTCTCTGAGGAAAAATAAAGGTCTTTAATGCAGATCATGGCATCATAGACCTGGGCAGGTCACCTCTCCGATTACAATAAGGAAACCTCTGCCCAGAAAGGCACAGCTTACAGTGATCAAAGCAGAACAAAGGTCCAGGTGTTTTACTCCCATTAGGGTTCTTGTTGGTTGGCTCTGTTTTGCTGTATTATGCTGTGCTGTTTGCCCAAACCCTTAAGAAAGCAGAAAAGTGTTAAGCCTTAACAAGCACATTCAGCTAGAAAGTCATGAATGTTTCTCCCCTCCCCCCATTTTTTTTTTTTTGTCAGAAGAGATTTTGATCTCATCAAGCACAACAGCATGAAGATTCTTGTCCCATTTTTTAGAAACCTAAATGCAGGTTTGAAAACCTGCATTCATCTAATCCTCCAAAATTTCCAGTGGTAATAAGTTCTGTGACTGAAATGTCTGAACGCCATATCTGTTTGGAATTATATCAAGAAGAAGAGGTCAGTAGGAGGTGGTTTTCCAAACCTTTTAGCTAAAGCTATAAGCAGAATTCAGGAGTGACAACTTTAATAACCCTCTCTAAGTGGACAGGGTGGGAAATAAGGTCAAACTTCCAACAAGATGGAAGATTTGATGATTGTAAGCAATCATAACCAATATTAGGTTACATTCTGAGGGCTTTTGACAAAAACAAAGTCACTACAAATTCAGCTATCAGAAGATGGTGTTTGACTATCCATTTAGTTCTCTGCCTTCCTAATCTCACTTAATCCCTGTTGGCCCTGCTCTAGACTTGGCCCTGATCAGCTCACACCTGGACAGTTGTACCTGCCCTTATTGTCTGTTTCTTTTATTCTTCCTTCTCTGTCATCATGCTAATCTTCCCAGAACACCTTTTTTCATCTGCTGCTGATCTATTAAAAATGCTAACTGCCTCCCAATGGCCTTCCTCAATCTGCCCTCTGTTTGCTTTTCTGGTATTCTCTCTTCCCACTCCCTTCTCCTTTGCCAGCCTGAGTCTGCATTGTCCATTTTTCTTTAATTGTAGAATACTTGCCATTGTGGTAGGTGAGGGTGTAGTCCCAGCAGACAGGCAGCCTGAGCCAAAATCCTGCCCTACTTGCCCTGTGACCTCAGGCAAGTTAGGTAACTGACCTCCATTATCTCCTTTATTAAATGGAGACATTGCAGCTTTGTAAGAATTGCATGAAATACCATAGGTAAAAGTGCATGCAGGAGTGTCTGGCACATAGGAAGTGCTATTGCTTGTTGATGTCATTGTTATCAGCCCTGCCTCTGTGCCTTTGTTCCTGTTACTGGTTTCACTTAAGTTCTCCACTTCCTTCAAGGCCAGCATTATTTCGTCTCCCCACTCATATGTCCAGTTCACATTTTCTATTTTCATTGCACTATTGGTGCCCAGCACTCTGCTATTCCAGCTACCGTGACCCCAGATATCTCAGCACGCCCTATCTCAGGCACTTCATGTAGGCTGTTCTCTGTTTAGAAAGTTCCACCCCAAGATGGACCATGTCCTCTTCCTTCATCAGTCAGGTCTCTTCCCCTCTCATCAGGAGGACCTTCCCTGATTGTGCATCCCTCTTCGCCCTATATATATTTAACTTGCTGTATTCTTTTCACTATATTTGTCACTACCATGCAATTATACTTATTTTCCTATTAGTCCCAACTGGACTCTAAACTCCATGAGAGAATGAACTTTGATTTGTTCTTAGCCTTATCCCTAGAACCTAGAAAAGTACTTTGCATGTAGTAAGAGTTCACATATGTTTCTTAATTAAAGAATGGCAATAGTGTTTTATATTTATATAAGAAAATTTACAGTTTACCTTCATGTACATTTGCTTATGTGTTCCATAACTATGGTGATAGAAATATGATCAGCTTTACTTTGAGAAACAAGCTCAAAGAGGTTTATAGATTCATACAAGGTCAGATACCTCAAATAACCCCTGAGGTCTTCTGAGCCATAAGTCTAGTCTGGTTGCCATACGCCTGGCTCTGTGTTACATGTTTTTGTTGATGCTGGTGGTGATGGATGGTGGAGGGCAGTAGCGGCAGCCAGGTTGATATTGGAGGCTTTCAGGAGTTACAAGTCACAGAGACAGATTGAGAAGGTGTGGGGTGTGCGATTGCTAGGGTGACCGCTGCCAAGTGATTTCACCTTTGTAGTATTCCTCTTCCCCTCCACCCCCACAAACTTACAAAGTAGCTAAAGCAGAAATTATTGTTTTTATCTGTGTAGATATTTTTTAAATATTGATAAAACTTTCCCTACATCAATATTTTTGAATCTCTTGCCTACTTTTACATATAACTTTAATTTAAAAAAAATTTTTAGGGCAATATAGTTTTGTACAATATTATCTTTGTGGAAGGAGGCAAGCTGAGGTAGGGGCCAGGTTGGATATAGTATAACTCCTGAGTGCTGCCATTCTGGAGCCCAGCCAGACATACAAACTTAGTTTTTAAAGTGGAGGGATGAGGGAATCACAATGTGCCTCATCTTTATTCCTCCTTTGTCCATGTAGTTCTCCTTCCTTCCCCAGTGATTTTGGTCCCTGGAACTACCTTGTTTGTGTTTTGATGTGAACCTAACTTTTCAGGTTTCTAGATTGTACATTCCAGCATTTGAAGTATAGAGCCTGACTTGGAAAGTACTGCATGCAAAGACATAGAGTTTTACATAAACCCCGTAAGAAGCGTGAGGCGAAGAAGGAAGATTATTGAAAAGGGTTTTAGAGGTCCTTAGTGTGTGTGAAGTATTGAACTGGAGTTCTAGGAACATATTGGCATCATATAAGTATAGACCAGAGGATGAGAGACTTTTCTGAAAGGGTTAGACTGTGAATATTTTAGGCTTGTCAGCCATACAGTTTCTGTCACAACTACTCAACTTTCTCTGCCATAGTTGTTCAAAAGCAGCTCTAGCTTGAGGATAATAACCTGCTTGGTTTGACCTTATTTTGCCTATCCCTCCTACAGTAAATTCTGTAGATTTTATAGGGTAACCTTGAAAAGTTTTACTGAATAGTTATGGCTTGAATAGGACTTGAAAGAATGGTTCGGATTTGACTAGTGCAGAGTGAGCAGTTGAATAAAAGGACTAACTAAGCAATATAGTGGATGTTTAGGAAACATTGCATAAATCAGCCTGGCTAATATTTAGACACTTGGTTCCTCATTGACTGGATTCCTGTTAATAGGGCCATTTCTAGACATCAAGAACTAAGATAACCCTGTCCTTAAACTTGTGTTCACCACATTGGGCAGCTGTAGTCATCACCTCCACCAATGTGAAAGGTGGGCATGGGGATCTTGAGTAATTGCTCTGCTTCCAACCTTCTTCTTACCCTGACAGAAAGGCAATTACTTATTCTCTAGAGTTAGATCACCTAGGTTCGCTTCTTGGCTTAATCACTGTGAATCTCCATTTTCCCATCCATAAAATCGGGATATTGCTATATTGTTAATATGAGGATTTAGTGAGATAATCAATGTATTGTGTTCAGTATGGTACTACTTATATTAGTAAAAGCTCAGTAAATTGTGGCTGTCCTTTTTATAATCTCTGATTTAGATAGAAAACATTAGTGTTGCTTTGTTGAGATTATTTTTGATTCCTGAAGTAAATATATGTTTAGACTAGCTTGACTGTTTTACTTTGCATAAATAAATTAACCAATGAGCTTTATCAAATCTGTGGATGGTGGAAATAGTTGTCTACCTCAGCCTTGTCTCTGCAGAACATGTGTCTTCTAGCAATCATTAATCACAAGAGCATATCCACACAGATAGGTGGCAATAGTTCATACTTGCCTGTGTGGTTAAAAATTCCAGTATCAAAATTGTTAATTAAAGTAACTCCAGGTTAGTAATGAACTAGGTTCATAAGCTTATCCTCTCTGGAAGAACAATAGACTTTAAACTTAGTCCTCAGAGGCTTCCCACAGATGAAGTCCAAGGAATAGGAGTTAACAACGATGATAAAACCCCTCACACTGCCACCATGAGTGAGACTCACTAGGGCTAAGAAACAATAAAGTACAGAATAGTTTGCAACAAAACTTTTTAGTATTGGATTTAGCAGGTATAAATAACAAAATAAACATTTTTATAAAATGTAGTTTTTAAAAGAATTTAAGCAAGCAAATGTTATGATTGCCAGGTATTTTGTAAAAAGAACCAATTATAGCAGTAATTATAGTAGTAGGGCATGGGTATTGCTTGTGATCTGCCAGCACACACAAAATATTATATTCGTTTCTGGTTTTTGTTTTCATTTTTTATTTTCTTTTATTTCATTCAAACATTTCTGCCCCCAGCACTGTTTTAGGCACTGGTAAAGAAGACTATTAACATGGATAAGAGATGGTGCTTGTCCTTAGGAGCTTATTGCATACACTTGCCTTTGTTTTCCAAAGGTGATGAGTCTTTGGGAGGCTGAAGACAAGACAATGGAAACTACAGACTTATTGACCGAACAAGATTTTTTTTTTTTGCTGCCATTTTATTGCCCATCTATAGCCAGATCTGTCCTAGCACACCAGCCAGCTTACCTTACCTACACTAAAATTTAATTAGTACTTAAATATTAAGTGTTGAGCAGTAGTACCTGCTGTTTTGGAGTTGTTGTCTCATGAGCAAAGTCTTTTGATACTAGGATTTCTCTTCAGAATTCTTAACAAACTAAAAAATTCACTTAAGAAAAGATAAGGGTAATACTTTAACAGGAAAACTGCCTGTTTGCCCACAGGCCTTTTATCACAAATATTTATAGCAAATGTTTATTAATTTTGAAAATCTTGACCTTGTGTTGTAAACAAATTTATATATATTTTTATATATCATATATAATATATTTATATATTAATTTACACACACACACACACATACACTCTTATGAAGTCCAAGTGAAATCATTGAGATCGTGAAGGAACAGAGTACTGAAGGAATTTAGGGATCGAGTGATATTTATCTGGTTGGGGGCCTGAAGAAGGCTTCAAAGAGCATATTTGAACTAAGATTTGAAAAATGAATGGGGTTTGATAATTAGGTAAGGAGGTGGGGATAATGGAGAGCATTCTGAACTGAAAGGACCCTTGAATGTATAAGGACTGTTTTTGCAGAAATATGATAATCTAGAAAATGGGACTCTTGTTTCCCTAGTGTGAAGTTTGCTCTTTTCCTTCCTCTAGTCAGTTTACCCTGTTACTTCTTTTTTTCTTCTGCATGGGGTGATTCTTGAGATACATGGAAGAGAGTAACTTTCCTGTACCACATTAAGGGAATTCACAGGAGTAAAATATGTTATTTATGTCATTGTTAATCAAATATTCACATGCACTGCTAAATGATATCTTGGAATGGGTGGTTGGGGTGTATTTTTCAGGTTGAAAATATTCTCTTGCATGACCGAGGCCATTATGTCCTGTGTGACTTTGGAAGTGCCACCAACAAATTCCAGAATCCTCAAACCGAAGGAGTCAATGCAGTAGAAGATGAGATTAAGAAGTAAGCTTCTACTTCCTTTGAATTTTGTCTATTATTAGATCAGCAACTTCATTTTCAACTTATGGATGAGATGGTCAGGGTGGGTAAGCAATGGTGCTAATCTGTTGCCCCTCATCTTAGCATCATATTGGCTGTTGGATTGTTTGATTTTAAGTGGAGGAAGAAGAGAGGGTTCAGTCATTGATTAGCAGGCTAAAGTAAAAGAATCTTAGAGCATATTGTCAGTGGCCCAGTGGTCTTGTAGATACTTTGAGTTGTGTTACAGAATCCTCAAAAAACTGAGTGGTGTTCACACAGTAGGAATACTGTTATATTCACAACCACCATAGCATTATCACTCAGTTGGATGTGTTTTTTACTGAACCGGAATTGCTATGTATTCCTTCCCACTCCTAAGGAGCTCACCTCAGTCTAGTGGAATTAGTGGCGAGTAATTGAACTTTACATATATTGAATCACTGAATTCCATGAGAAAACACTTCTTTAGATTTGTGGCTCTGTAATTTCCTCCTATTGTCCAGAGTGTTGGGTTTTTCATGGGTAACAGTATTCACTATTACTGCTAGTAAGTCAGATCTCTCTTCATATATCATCCCAGGCAGCCATGACTGGGGCAGGAAGATACATGGTCCATGGGCCTTGATGGATATCTAAATCTTAGTATGCTCATTGGGCGCTAGAGACACACAGCATAAGTCACTTGCTTGATAATACTAGGACACGTACTTTGAAGATGTGCTTATACTACTTTCTTTTCTTGAGCCAGAGATAAGGGGGAAACTGTTGTTTTATCCCTATTCCAGCAGGGACGATCCTATCCATCTTCCACCCTAGCCCGGGCCCACTTTCTCTATTCTCCAGAGTGTCCCAGTTGGTATTACATCTCTTTGAGCCACGCTGAAAGGGATTACTCATTTAAAAAACAGATCAGCAAAATAGTATCAGATAACAAGGATTACAGAGGATCTTTTCATTTGGGGGGGCAGTGTCCAAGAAAAGTTGCTTTTAGAGCTTATTTAGAGCTTCACCATTAATTTTGGTTAGAACTGGTGCTTAGAGCGCCGTGGGTATATAACAAGATCAGCTTTTCATTTTACCTTCACTAATATTTCATACTCTCTTACGCAGATTGCTCCCAGGGAACTATATTCTATTAATACATAATTTTAAAGTATTTCTGTTGCCCTTGGTTTTTTAATTATAGCATTGACATATATTTAACAAAAAATTAATCTCTTGATTGTAGATACACAACGTTGTCCTATCGAGCACCAGAAATGGTCAACCTGTACAGTGGCAAAATCATCACTACGAAGGCAGACATTTGGGTAGGTGTCAACTAACCTATCCACATCACAGATATCAACAGTCTTAACTATAAATTGCCAAGTTTAATCCAGACAGTGACATAGCACCATGTCATTATCTACTTATCCCTCACGGTTATTCTTGACTCAAGGTGATCAGCAACTGCTTCTTGAAGCGTATCAAAGGAAATTGCTTTAGAGCTCTGTGAAAATTATTCAGGTGACCTCCACATTATTTAGGTGATTTTCACATGTGTTACTGATTACAGCAAAACAGCTGAGATTCTTGTTATTTATTGTTCATAATGGTAGAAATATGTAACTCATTGGCTAAATAGTGGTGTTAGGTTCTGAATTCAAGTTTCTAAGAAGTTAGTAGTACATAGTTTTTATACCTACTGGTATATCAACTAGTAAATGGATGACGCCAGTATCTTTCCATATACCTCTCTGCAGTTATGGAGGTTAAACCTCTGTTGTCAATCTGCTTTACCTTTTAGGCTCTTGGATGTTTGTTATATAAATTATGCTACTTCACTTTGCCATTTGGGGAGAGTCAGGTGGCAATTTGTGATGGAAGCTTCACAATTCCTGATAACTCTCGATATTCTCAAGATATGCACTGCCTAATTAGTAAGTATTGCCAAATTTCTAGTTTCATTTTTTTTTCTTCCTTTTTGTACAATGTATGCTTTCTCCTCTCTGGTGTAGTCCCTGTAAAATTCCCACCACCAGTTTACCTGTACACCATCACCATATTCCCTTGTGCTCTTCCCTCCCCTGTTTTGACCACTTTCCCTTCCCCTCCCCTGCAGAATGTCTCTGACTTATAGTTCCCTGTTAATTTTGTTTTTTAACTTATTATAATTTTCCCCCTGGCCTTTCATTTGGTTCTCCTGCATTCCTCCTATAAGTGAAGCCATTGATATTTTTCTTTTTCTTTCTGGCTTATTTCACTGAGCATAATCCCTTCCCGCTCCATCCTTGTTGCTGCGAATGGCATGAGTTTGTCTTTTTTGATTGCTGAGTAATATTCCATTGTGTATATATACCACATCTTCTTGATCCAGTCATCTATTTTTGGGCATTTGGGTTGTTTCCCTATCTTACCTATTGTAAATAGTGCTGCAATGAGCATAGGGGCGTGGGGGCCTCCCTGGTGGTGCAGGGGTTAAAGACAGCGCTATCAAGCTATTGCCAGCCACTGCAGCACCAGTTCTATCCCTGGCCTGCCAGGGAGCTAACTCACATGGTGCAGCAGACCTCTCCTGTCTCGCCTGCTGCTCCCCTCAGCAGTGTATTTCAGTAGGTCTGCTTGTTGTGCTCCCCACTCTCTGGTGAATCCTCTCCCTCCTGCCCAGTTCTTGTATGCATAAATAAATTAATCTTTTAAAAAAAAACATAGGGGTGCAGGTAGCCTTTTGATTAATGTTTTTGTGTCCTTGGGTTATATCCCTATGAGTGGAATTGCTGAAGCTCCATTTTTAGTAGCTTGAGGAAACTCCACATAGCTTTCCATAGTGGTTGGACCAGTTTGCATTCCCACCAGCAGTGGGTTTTGATTTGCAATTCCCTGATTACATTCGAGGTTTTTTTGTGGTTTCATTAAATTTCATCAATATTTGTTCTATCTCTTTGAAGAATGTCATTGAAATTTTTATTGAAATAGCCTTGAGTCTGAAAATTGCTTTTGGTAAGATGGCCATTTTGATAATGTTAATTTTCCTAGTTCATATACAAGGGATGTCTTTACATTTCTTTGTGTCTTCTGTTTCTTTAAACAATGTGTTATAGTTTTCTTTGTATAGGTCCTTCACCTCTTTTGTTAGGTTTACTCCCAAGTATTTGATTTTTTTGTTTCAATTATAAAAGGGATGGTTTTCTTAATTTCTTCTTCTTCAGATTGATTGTTTACATATAGGAAGGCTACTGATTTTTGTGTGTTGATTTTGTATCCTATTGTTTTACTAAACTGGTTGATTATTTTGACTAGTTTTTCTGTGGCACTTTTAGGGTTCACTATGTATATTACCATATCATCTTCAAATAGTGATAGTTTTAGTACTTCTTACCCTATTTGGATTCCTTGTATATCTTTCTCTTGTCTTATTGCTCTGGCTAGGACTTTCCAGTATTATATTGAAAAGCAGTGGAGAGAGAGGACATCCTTGTCTTGGTCCAGATCTTAAGGGAAAGGCTTTCTGCTTTTTACCATTGAGAATGATATTGGCTATGGGTTTGTCCTATATGGCTTTTATTACGTTAAGGCATGTTCCTTCTATCCTGAGAATTTTGAGGGCCTTCATCATAAACGGATGTTGAACTTTACTGAATGCTTTCTCAACATATGGTTTTTATTTTTCTTTTTGATGTGTTGGATTACATTAATTGATTTTCAGATGTTGAACCATCCTTGTGCCCCTGAAATAAATCCCACTTGGTCATGGAGAATTATCTTTTTGATGCATTGTTGGATTCTGTTGGCTAGGATTTTTTTTTTAAGATTGATTTATTTATGTATACAAGAGCTGGGGTACAGACCAGAGGTTTGAGGGGTGAGAGGATTCACCAGATACAGAGTGGGGAACAGAACAGGCAGACTGACTGAAATACACTGCTGAGTGGAGCAGCGGGCAAGACAGGAGAGGTCTGCTGTACCATGTGGGTAGCTCCCTGGCCAGCCAGGGCTTGGGGATTGAACTCGTGCTGCAGTTGCTGCGGACAGCATCATAGGTTGTATCTTAAGCCCTTGTACCACCAGGGAGGCCCGGCTGTTGCCTAGGATTTTATTGAGGATTTTTGCATCAGTGTTCATTAGAGAGATTGGGCTGTTGTTTTCATTTTTGTGTGTTGTCCTTGTTTAGTTTTGGTATTAGTGTAATGTTGGCTTCATAGAATGTAGTATTCCTTCTCAATTTTTTGAGTTTATGTAGGATAGGCACTAGTTTTTTCTGAATGTTTGGTAGAATTCATTAGTGCAGCCATCTGGTGCTGTTTTGGGGGAGGGTTTTGATTACTGTTTCAATTTCAGTGCTTGTAATTGGTCTATTTAGATGTTCTATTTCTTCTTTACCTGGCTTTAGGTGATTATATATTTCTAGATTGTTGAACTTGTTTACATATAACTGTTCATAAAAATCTCTGATTATTCTTTTGATTTCTGCTGTGTCTGTTATAATTTCTTCTCTTTCATTTATGATCCTATATATTTGTTCTTTTTCCTGTTTTTCCTTTGTGAGCCTGGCTAGAGGTTTGTCTGTTTTTTCAAAGAACCAACTTTTGGTTTTGTTAATTTTTTTGGATTTTTTTTTTTTCTATTTTATTAGGTTCTGCTTTGATTTTTATTATTTCCTTTCTTCTACTGGCTTTTGGGTTTTTTTTGTTGTTCTTTTTCTAGCTCTTTAATGTGAGAGATTAGTTTGTTTCTTTGAGTTCTTTCTTGTTTCTTGATGTGAGCCTGTATTGCTATAAATTTTCCTCTTACAACTGCTTTTGTTGTGTCCCATATGTTCTGGAGAGTTGTGTCCTCATTGTTGTTTGTAATTTTTAATTTCTTCTTTGATATCCTTATTGATCTAATGGTCTTCCAGTAGTGTGGATTTCAATCTCCTTGTTTTCTTTTCATGTTTTATTTCTAGTTTGATGCCATTATGGTCAGCGAAGATAGTATGATTTTGATCTTAGCATATCTGTTGATGTTTGTCTAGTGTCCCAGTATGTGATCGATTCTGGAGAATGAGCCATGTGCTCTTGAGAAAAATATGTACTTGGATTTTTTTGGGTAGAGTGTCCTATAAATATGTGTTAAGCCCATGAGGTTTAGGTCCTTATTTAGAGCCCTGGTGTCCTTGCTTATTTTTTGTCTCTTTGGTCTATCTGTTGGTGAGAGTGGTGTTTTGCAGTCTCCTACTACATATGTATTTTCACTACTGTATATTTTCAGATATGATTATAATTGTCTGATATATACTGGTGTTCTTTCATTTGGTGAGTATATGTTGATGAGAGTTATGTCTTCTTGATGTATTGCCCCCTTAATCACAATATAGTGATGGCTTGTGCCTCTTTTTACCTTTTTTAGTTTGAAGTCTATTTTATCTGATACAAGTATAGCTGTTCCTGCCTTCTTTTTTGGCCCATTTGCTTGTAGAATTGTTTTTCAACCTTTTACTTTCAATCTATGTATATCTTTTGTAGTTAAATGTGTTTCCTATAGACAGCAAAAGATTGGGTTCTGTTTTTTAATCCAGCCTGCGACTATGTCTTTTTATTAATGAGTTTAGTCCATTTACATTTAGAATTAATATTGATAAACTAGCGTCTGTATTTGCCATTTTGTTTGCCTTCTTGTGATTCTATTCCTTACCTTATTCTGTTCTTTCTATTCATTCCTCTCTTGGTTTTGGTTTTAGGGCTGCTTGTAATATTTTTTGGAGTGGGGGGTTAGTAGTAATGAATTTCTGCAGATTCTGTTTGTCTGAGGTTTTTATTTTTCCTTCATAGAGGAAGGAGAGCTTTGTGGGATAGACTATTCTTGGTTGGCATTTGTTGATTTGGAGTTTGTTAAATATGTCACTCCATTCTCTTCTTGCCCATAGTGTTTCTTCGGAGAAGTCTGATGTCAGCCTAATTGGTTTTCCTTTATAGGTTATCTTTTTCTTTGCCCTCATCAGTTTCATTATTTTTTCCTTCTCTTGGGCCCTTGGAAACTATACTATTATGTGTCTTGCTGTAGTTTTCATTGTGGCAATTTGGTGGTTTTCTAGCTTCCTGTATGTCTATTTTCATTTTCTTCTTTATGCTTGGGAAGTTCTCTTTAATTATCTCCTTGAATCGTTTCTCATTTCCTTTGTCTCTGTCCTCTCTTTCTGGGATTCCTATAACTCTTATGTTTCCTTTCCTCATGGTATCAGATATTTCTCAAATCAAGTCTTCATTTTTTTTTTTTCTTTTGTACTTCTCTTTCCTTTTCCTTTTTTGGTTCTTTTTATGTCTGTATCTTTGAGAGTATTCTTCCATTTCTTCTATTCTATTTTCATGGCTTTTCCCAGAATTCTTGAGCTCCTCCACTAATCTCTGGGTATCCTCCAGTTCCTTCACTTTCTTCTTTAGCAATTCCTTTTTCTTCCTTAGTTCATTGATTATATTCTTATCTCTTTTGGCATTTTCTCTTAATTTTTTAATTGTTTTCACTATGGCCTTTTTGAATTTTTTATCTGTTAGATGGAGATAATCTTCTGTGTCTGAGGTTTTTGGAGGTTGACTTTCTTTTTGTAGAGTATTGTTCCCAGAAAGGCCTCCTTGATTATTTGTATTTTTCTTTCTTCCCATTGTTAGCCTTTGGCTTTGTTCTGTTCATAGTTCCCTTCTTCTGCTTAGTTTCATATTTTTAATTCTAATTCCTAAGAATTAATTAGAGGATAAAGTGTTGTGCTGCAGAGATAATGAAATCAGGTGCTAATGGTTGGGCACTCAATGATAATATAATGGTGTCTAATTCGAATGGTGGGTCTTTTTTGCCAGAAATCTAAGCTTGGTTTTACACCTGAGCAGAAATCCTAACTGTGCTTTGAGCAGTTTAGTGCTGGTCTTTCTTTTGCAGTCTTTTTGAAAGCTTACAGACCAAAGGAGTCCAGCTGACTCATATCAAGTGATACAAAATTCGTCTTTGCAAAACTGGAAGCAACTCAAATTAAAATGACTGCAGTGCGTTGGCTGGAGTGAATACATAATTAAGACTGTATAACTCCCTGGAAATAGGTTTTTCCTCTCATTTAGGTTAATCACTGGATTTTGATAACAGGCATTTAAACTCAGTGCTTTGTTTAAAATGTTTTTTCAAGATTCCCCACTCTTTTGTATCATCACAGCAAGCATATGTACTAATGTATATTACCCAGATGGTAGAATAAGTCATCTTTGCACAACCCCCTGTATTAAAATCCTAAAGAAATAGATATTTTGATCATCTTTTTACTTTAGTCAAGATGTGTAGCATCTAAATTTTAACCATTATGGGTGATAAATCTTGCGCAACCCAGTTTGGGTTTTGGGTGGTGATCAATGGAAAAAATAAAACCAGCTGATGTGAAGTGGAACGTCTGACATTTGTTGATGGGCTACTTGCACCTCATTTAATTTTTAAAACTTTTTTTAAAAAAAGATTTATTTATGCATACAAGAACTGGGGTACAGGCCAGAGATGGGGTGGTGGTGACAGGATTCACCAGAGACAGAGTGGGGAGCAGAACAGGCAGACTGACTGAAATACACTGCTGAGGGGAGCAGCAGGCGAGACAGGAGAGGTCTGCTTTGCCACGAAGTGGGTAGTTTCCTGGCTGGCCAGTGATCAAACTCATGTGCAGAGGCTGCGATTGCTTCATACTGAGGTGCTTAACCCCTTGCACCACCAGGGAAGCCCTAATTTTCAAGTAAACATAGAACTTATAAGTAGCAGTGTATATAGTTAACCATTAGTCAGTCTCTTGCATTTATTAACAAAAAGGAATGGATTATGGCGTTTAATGATTGTTGGATTGTTTTCAGAAGTCAAAGCATTATATCTTTTCTAGAATTGTAACTGTGTAATTAGATTGGAAGGAAATATGGGAAAATCCCCAAATTTGAAAGTAGGATGGAAGGCTTTTGGTAATATTTTTTTCCTTTTAACATTCATGCAGCAAATTCATATTAAGAAAAACAACTTGTGGGCCTCCCCGGTGGTGCAGCGGTTGAGCACTGGGTTGCGAAGCTGCCCGCAGCCTCTGCAGTGCCGGTTCGATCCCCGGCTGCTCCCCGGCCACTGGAGGAGGGTCCCGTACGGCGCGCGGACCTCTCCCGCCGCCCGCTGCTCCCCTCAGCAGTGTACTTCGGTCCTTCTGCCTGCTCTGCTCCCCACTCTGGCTCTGGTGAATTCTCTCACCCTCCCGTGCTTCTGACTGTACCCAGTGCTTGTATAAATAAATAAATAAATCTTTAAAAAAAAAAAAAACAACTTGTAAGGAATGTCTATAACACTGACATCTTTCCTAAACTCTAATATATTTCAGTTTGAAAACTTCTTGAGAAGTCTACTGTCCCCCTAAACTCATCTACCCATCCAGTTTTATTAGTTCCATCTACCCATCCAGTTTTATTAGCCTGTATCCTCTGACAAGGAAACCCCTGCCTTGTCCTTGCCTTTCTCCTAGTCCATCTTTGCTCAGACCGTTTTCTCACCTGGGAGGTCCTTTTCTCTGTGTTCCACTAAATTCATTCCTGACTTCAAGGGCCAGCTCAAGCCTGCCTCTAGTGCAAGGCCTTTGCAAGATTACACCTTCATTATTTTTTTCCCCTGAACTTAATGTCCCAACCATTCATTTGATTTTTTAAGCAGTGAATTGCCTTGCACTGTTCTTTATATGTATATGTGTGTTTGTATGTCTTTTCAAAGACTTTTTTCCTGAGAATATTTCCAGCTTCAGAAGGTAGAAGCTTATGGTACCTAGAAACAGACACTGTGATCTATGGATCATGGTAAAACTAGAGATGTATTTGTTACATTGTGAAACACTGGGAACTAGCTAATATATCTGCAGCCAAAGAATAATAAGTTCATGAAATTAATTTTTGATTGTAATTATCAAGAATGATTTTTTGTTTAGCAAGATATCATGAACTAAAGAAGCCAAAACCCAGACTGTGTAATGCCCTAGTTGCCAGATTATGAAGATGATGATTTTCTTATTGAGAGCTTGAGTCCCTGTTTTACAAGACACAAAATATGAACCACAAGTATCTTTGTTACAATTCAAACACTTTGTTATTTTCTTGTGGATATTAAATATATTAGGAAAGTTAATTCTTCCCTTTCATAGAGGAGAGGAAAAGGGCTAATGCATTTTCTGACTTTTATGGAAAATTAAGAATTAAAAAACAAGACAATTTTGGTAATAGTGAAATTATGATTCCTAGTTAATGTAATAACTGTTAGGTTATCCTTAAATAAATGTGCATATGTTTGTCTTAGGATATATGTTGGAACCAGACCCTGACAAAAGGCCGGATATTTACCAGGTCTCCTACTTCTCATTTAAACTACTCAAGAAAGAATGCCCAATTCCAAATGTACAGGTATGTGCAAGGTGCTTTTTAGGGGAAGCAAACATCAAATTGTTTAGAATTACGGAGGGTTTTAATGAGCTGTTTAAATGAATATATAACTTTCCTTTATCTAGTAGGGGGCATGCAAGCACAGCTAACTATAAAGCAATTGCTATGAATAGAATCCAGTTTTCTCATAGAATTTAATTATCAAAAGGCAATAATACTGAAAAAAAAAAAAAGCCCTAGAGATTGATTTGAACAATTTGGGTAAAGATTGACCAAACTTTTGTTTTAATAGCTTACATAGAGCCAGATGCTTGTTGTATTTACCTAGCGGTGGTTAGGCAGGTGGTTTTCCTAGGGTAAGACCCTGACTTGCCTGCTTGCCTCTTGTAACAGAAGTCCTTTGCCCCTTTTCTCCTTCATTGTACCAGAGCTTTCTTAATTTTGCTTCTGCTGTTGGCCTCCTATAACTCACATTCCTTTTCATCTAGCCTTCCCATATTTATTAGGCAATAGGAACATTTTCTACACTTAGTAATCCTAAAGTCTACACTCAGCAGTTTTCAGAGTGCAGTTGCAAACACCCTTTTTATAGTATTGACATATTTTTCATGTCATAGTATAATCCAACTTTTGAATATTTTACTATGGATGCCTTAATAAATAGTAAACTCTAATCTGAAATATACTTCCTACTTTCTCTAGTAATGAACTTTCGAGGTCACTACTGGGGCTTGAGGGTGCTGATAAATAGTATTCCTGTTTCACTGCTACATTTGGAATTAGATGCAGGTGTTGTTCAAATGGATCTCAGAATGCTGGCTACTAAGCTTGAGTGGGAGAACGTTGCTTGACGAGTCAGGCACCTTAACATTAGATCCACATGACTGAGCAGTGAGTTTCTGATTTCTGATAGATAGGCTCTTCCCAATAAGAAGGAGGGCAATGTCAGCCAGGGGAGGTTTTCTGTTTTCTCCCAGTCTTATCAGTCAAATAAGTTACCATTCTCTCTTAGGAAAGAAATGCTTGAAGGATGGAAGAAAAGCTAGACAATTTTTCTGGTAGAAATTCACCATCCCCAAAACATGAGAGAAATGGGAGTACTCTTCTAAAAGCCAACTTTATTTTTTTTTTTAACTAATAGTCCATTTGTCAGGTTTCCCAGATTAAAAAAAGGAATAGTGTACAGTAACCTAACATTACCATGTTTCCTTTTGCTGTTCCACTTTGTCATTCATAAAGTTAAATAACATGCATGAAATATAATTGGAAACATTCTGACTGGTAACTAGTTTTTTAAAAGTAAGTCTTTACAAGTCTCATCTCATCTAGTACTCCTTGAGTGGTGGTAAGAGTTCTCTAGTGGTCAGGGACAGCTCATGCTCCTTCATGAGACGTTAGCTGGATGGTGCAGATCCATGCTGAAGGAAGAAGCCCTGCTCGGCCAGTGGTTGAACAGTGCCTCACATGCTGGTAAGAGGTGCTGCCTCAGCGACCAAACTTGCAGTGGCTGTGGTTTTCTCCCAACATTCCAACTAGAAGACTGAACATATGCTGGTTTGGCACATTAGTCAACTCTAACTTCTCTAAGATCTGAAAGCTTAAATAGCATCATCGGTTACAGACATCTCTTTCCCATTCCTTTCATAACATCCTTTGTGCTGGCCTATAGGAAGAGGATACTAAAATCAAGCTCAAGTGCCCTTAGCTGGGTACAGACAGTTGAGAATGACAGGGAAGGAGTATGCTGCATGCGGGCTTCTCTGACCTCCGCTCAGATACTTTGCCTTCCAGAATGTGCCTGAGTCTGGTGGGATATGCCTTTAGTTAACTTTCCTTCCCAGAGATCAGGGCCTTGAAACCACCCCAGAATACCCCAATATGTATTTCCATCAACCTGGTCGTGATGGTTGTTCTTTAACAAAGAAATCTGTGGTGTCCTTTTTGAAAATTTCCTTTCAATTTCATAGAACTCTCCCATTCCTGCGAAGCTTCCTGAACCAGTGAAAGCCAGTGAGGCAGCTGCAAAAAAGACTCAGCCAAAGGCCAGGTAAGAAATGCCCTTGCGAGCACATGTCCTGCTCTAGTTGCCGCAGTAATGCTGGGGATGGTGTCTTGTGTTTCTAGATTCTTATGTAACCATGGCTAAAGGAAAGCAGGCCCTGTCTTCCCTAGGCAGAAACTGTTCTTTGGGAGTATAAAAAGGAATATAATGAAATACAATGATCTGCATTTGAAAGAGAACCAAGAACTCCAGAGCTGTTTCCTTAGCTTTGGAATAGACACAGGGGCATTCAGAGAGGAGGCTACAGTAGAGATTAAATACTGCTGTTGCAGTTATGTCCTAAACAATTGTCCTGATCTTTTTTTTAGCTACATTCAGCCCCCTAATCCTTTTACTCCCTTTCCTTCTTACTTTTTATGACTCTGGATACAGGAAAAGTCAAAGCACTGAGTTCATAAATAATGAAAGACCCTTCGGATGTGGATCTTAACTAATCACATTCTATATGAAGTAGGGTATTCCAAGTAGCAGATGCCAAGAGACAATTAAAGAAACTATGGTTTTACATGGGGAAATGCCCCTGTCATAGAGAATGAGAATTCCAGGGAAAGTTGGGAGAACCATCAAAAAGCGAGTAAGTCTGACCCAGAGGGAGATTGGGTGGAGAAGGTTTGGGTGGAAGGACCTAGAAACTGCCACACAATTTAGGAAAAGTTCATTGAAGGTGTCAGGGAGCCCTGGAGCCACAGTCTACCACCAAAAAGTCCCTGTCTCCTGGGATCAGCTTATGGGAAGCGTGGCTTCAGGGATTTTAGGAGCACAGCACATGGAGAACTTGATCTGTTACACCCCTTGTAGATGAATTGCTGTAGGACACATCCTCATGTGCCTTCCAGATGGCTAATTCTAAAGGTAGTCCAGGTCTAGTTTATATTCCTCTTTTAGGACCACACTCCCATGACAAGGAAACATTAGCAGCAAATTATATTAGCAAAGTACCCTAGATGGGAGTATGTGAACTTTAATAGAATTGTAAAATAACTTTTATATTTAAAAAAATTCTTGACTATTTATAAAATGACTGTTATGCACAGAGAGCTATTCCAGATGTGGCTTGAAAGTAATAAGACTTTGGTTTTAACAAATGTAGCAAAACTGTATCCATCTCGTTACTATGTGGTCTGTTGAATTCTTAAGTTGATGGTGCTCACCTTTGGGAATTGGTTTGGCAGGGAGGTGATATAATTAGCTTAGTCTTTTGAGTTTATGGTCATACTGTATGAGACCCAGGCAGCACATGTACAGAGACTGAGCAAGGATCCCTTATCTTACTCCCATAAAGCACACACTCTTACAAAAATGTAAACAAGAGCTAACATTTGAGTGATGTCTGTTATGTAACATGGCATAAATAATTACCATATCATAAGACAAATGAGAACCTCAATGTGTCAGTGAATGTGAAACAGCATTATAAACTGTAGAGTGCTGAAAGTGTTCATTTGCATGCTCAATAATACAGACCTTACAGCTGAGAGATTTGTTATCCTAAATTGTCTAATCTTAGGACAGTATTTCATTTGCATTGTCACATTTGCTCCCTGGTCCTGGGATGTCAGTTATTCTTTAACTCTGTTTTTAAAGTAGACACTATTCATTGAGGTATCATATATACCAGATACCATACAAAATATTTTATATAAATAAGATGACTTTTGTTCCCCTTGTAACAAAGCCAATGAGGTTATTGTTATTCTCGTTTTATAGATGAGGAAACAGATGCAGAATTGTAAGTTGCCCACAGTAATTAGTGGATATGTGGTTGGTAAAAAAGCCAGAACTTGAGTGTCCACTCTTTGTTCTCTGTACATTAAATGATTTACCCAAGATCATGTAAGACAGCTTAGAGCCAGATCTCCTAGTTTCCAGATCTGTATTTTCTCACAGCATATTTAGGTCCATACAGACTAATATTTTGAGCACTCTAATATGGATTTACAGTGATTCACAAATTTGAATTTTCATTTGCCTTATTGTGTGGGCAATATTTTCCCTATTTTATACACAAGGGACTTGAGGCTAAAAGAGGTTAAGTGATACACCTACATGGTTAGTAGGGAGCGACAGCTCAGTGACTGCAAATGCTGTTGTTTCTAAGGTGTTACCCTCAGGAGAAGACAAATGTGGAAATTTTTAGCATTTAGTTTTCTACAGAAGTCTGTTCACCTTCCTCACTTTTAGTTTTATCTTTCTTAATACCTTTTTCCTTTTTCCCAGCATCTTTCCCATTTTTCCTTCCCACCTCCCTTCACCAGGGAACCTCCCCAGATGTGGTAAATTTAATATTAGTGGTTCTCCACCCAGCACAAGAGTGTCCGTCATAGGACACCTGTGAAAAGCCTCAGGGTTCAGAATACCTTGGAGGTAATGTCCTTGAGGAAGCCTTGGAACCATCTCTTTGATTCCTATTTTACATTTCATAGAGATTGTGCTAGACATATTTTGGAAATATCCTGAAGCTTGTTTATTTTGGCCTTCATCTTAGCTATACTCCCTGAAGTGCATTTTCAAAGGGCAATCGCTCTGATCTGAGTTAGGTGGTAGCTAGCCACCTGGACTGCTCTATATGAAGGAAGTTACCATCTGGACTTTTGTACCATCACAGAGAGAAAGCAGATCACACAGCAGTCCTCCCTGTGTTGATTTGGACTAGATTTGGCTGTGAGTGATTAAATCCAAAATGACAGTGGCTTATTTTTTTTTTCCTCATAAGTAAACAAGTCTTGAAGTTAGTAGCCCAGGCTGATATGGCTGTTATGCTCCACAAAGCCCTTAGGTGCCCAGGCTTCTTCAAGTTAACCATTCTACTACCCTTATGGTTGTGGTCATTGCCTTATGGACCAAGATGGCAACATCCCTGCTCCGAGTAGCAGGTTAAAGAGTAGCCAGTAAAAAAGAGAGATAAAGGGCATACACACTTATTTCTCAAGATTTTTTCAAAACAATCTGCTTAGCCCTTATGTGAGACTAGAACACAGACACATGGTTACCCTGAAGATGAGGGCCTGGGCAATGTGACTTTTGTGCTGGATGTGTGTGTATGGGAAAAAAATTCAAAAATGTCTGTTTAAGGACCTGGAGCTCCTGTCATACTCTGCAAATCTTCTACTTTAATTATTCCTTCTAGTTGCTTTATTGGATTCACTCATTAAAATGCTTTTTATTGTAGAGAGGTCATTTTGAGAGTTCTAACCAAGTTTGCGTTCCCTCTACATCTGCAAACCACCTGCTCCAAATCCCTCTTTGCATCATCACCGAAAAGTGTATTCTGGGAAATCCTAGGAGTTATTAGGTAAAAGGATCCAGGATCAAATAAGTTTGAGATAACTGAACAATAAATTTGAGAAACACTGCGTTCTATATAGTGCTGCATTTGAGTTTCTCCATACATATACACACATGCAAAGAAATCTGCTCAATATATTTTGATCAATATGTTGACACTTTCCCACACAGTCTTTATCCCTCACAGCTATTAATACATAATATACTGTGGGACACCTTCTGGGAAATACCAGTGAAGTAGATCTAGAAGGTTTGGATGAATGTGGAAGAGAAAGCTAATTCAACATATACTCTGTCTACTCCTCTACTGTTTTTCCGCACATTAACATGAATCTTTACTTTCTTTTTATAAATCCCTTTTCTAGACTGACAGATCCCATTCCCACCACAGAGACTTCAATTGCACCCCGTCAGAGGCCTAAGGCTGGGCAGACTCAGCCGAACCCAGGAATCCTTCCTATCCAGCCAGCCCTTACACCTCGAAAGAGGGCCACAGTTCAACCTCCCCCTCAGGCCGCAGGTCAGTTAACTAGATTGTTTAAAACTTGCTATAACTCTTTGTTATCCTGGATAATAGAGAAGTCCTGGAAAATCTGGTTTTGCTCCAGGAATGGAATTTAGAGGCCATAAAAAATAATGGCTTTCCCACAGATTTATGGTCAACTAATATTTGACAAAGGAGCAAAGAATATGCACTGAAGCAAAGAAAGTTTGTTCAATAAATGGTGCTGGGAAAACTGGGTCGCTACATGCAAAAGAATGAAGCTTGACCACTACCTCACACCATGCACAAAAACCAACTCAAAATGGATTAAAGAACTAGACATAAGACCTGAAACCATAAAATACATAGAAGGAAATATAGGCGAAACGCTACATGATATGCACATCAAAGACATCTTTACAGACACATCACCCAAAGCAGTGATAGTGAAGGCAAAGATAAACAGCTGGGACTACATCAAATTAAAGAGCTTCTGCACAGCAAAAGAGACAATAACAAAAACAAAGAGAAACCACACCGACTGGGAGAACATTTTTACACACAACACTAACGATAAAGGACTGATCACAAAAATCTACAAAGAGCTGATGAGACTCAACAAAACAAAGAAAATAATCCAGTCAAAAAATGGGCAGAAGAGCAAAAAGAAACTTCTCTGAAGAAGAAATGCAAATGGCCAACAGGCATATGAAAAAATGTTCAACATCACTTGTAATCAGGGAAATGCAAATCAAAACTACAATGAGATACCATCTCACACCAGTGAGAATGGCACATATTAAAAAAACTAGCAACAGCAAATGTTGGTGAGGTTGTGGAGAAAAAGGAACTCTCCTGCACTGCTGGTGGGATTGCAAACTGGTCCAGCCACTATGGAAAGCTGTGTGGAGATTTCTTAAACTATTAAACATAGAGCTTCCATATGATCCAGCAATTCCTCTCCTAGGTATTTACCCAAATGACACAGAAACAGTAATTCCAAAGGGCACCTGCACCCTCATGTTTATAGCAGCACTATTTATAATAGCTAAGCTATGGAAGCATCCCAAAAGCCCAAAAATAGATGACTGGATCAAGAAGATGTGGTGCATATACACAATGGAATATTACTCAGCAATCAAAAAAGATAAACACATGCAGTTTGCAGCAACATGGATGGCGCTGGAAGGGATCATGCTCAGCGAAATAAGTCAGAAAGAAAAAAGAAAAATACCGGATGGTCTCACTCATAGCAGGAATTTAGAAAACCTAAATAAGAGACCAGGAAAAAGATTAATCAATACAAAGTAAAAATCAAAATCAACAAGCACTATAAACCAGAGACACACTACGGAGGGGGGGAGGAGTGGGGAAAGGATGGACTAGAGTCAAAATAAGGGGGGAGGTGCAATTGTGTGGGGAATATAACCAAAACAAAAATGCATACATTGTGCAAAGATGAAAAAAGATGTAAGAATTATATAAAATAAAATATTTAAATAAAAAAAAATAATGGGTTTCCTTGAAGCTGAGCTGCCATTGTAGTTGTATGGCCCATGACTGGGAAAGGGGTGGGGGCTTGGTTGTTGGAGGGGGATGGCTCATTGAATTCTGTGAGGGATTTCAAAGACCACTGGTGTCTGTCGTCTCTCTTTTTGCTAGCCTTGGCCTTGATTTTGTGGATGAATACATTCATCCAATACCAACCTCTTCATTTTATATACTTGTCTTTGCCTTTAAAGAAGAAAGTTGCATCTCTTTTTGTCAAAGGGGAGTTGTTTCTTAAATGTTCTGTCTCGTAAAGTATATGTCACCTCTCCTTATTTTGGTATTTGTTTCTAATGAGGTGATATTTAGATACTCAAGGTTGCTGATTAAAGGAGTAATTGACTAATGGGATGGTGAATAAGGGACGGCTTTATGAAAGAGGCAACTACTAAACCTTGGAACTTGTTTTGAACTATATAAAGCACATAATTTAGCACAAAGCAGAAAGGGCCTTCCAGGTACAAAGACAGTGAGACTCTTGTGGGTGTTGGGATTATCTGTTCATTTATTGTTACTGAAATAGTTCTGGGTTCTGCTGCCTGTCACTACCAAAACATCAATAAGCAGTGACAGGAATTGAATCTATAAACACTTTTATTTTTCAGATCACTGGCCATTGACCTGAAAGAATGTTGGGTATAGCATTCTGAGCTGGCCTTTTTATAATGATATAAAAACAAGACAGTTATTCATAAGCAAACAGCCCATCAGAACAGCCCATTACAGTTGATGTTTCTGGTATTCTTCACATTCAGCCCCCAGAACTTGTTACCAGCCTCCCATTTATCTTGACGCTTGCACATCTGATGGCCTCAATGTCCAGCACTCCTTTGGGCATCATCAGGGCAGGAATCTCTGTTCAAAATAAGAGTTTTAGTTTAAAGAAAACAGATCATTAGTTATATAGTGTGTACATGCAGCCTGTGCTATGTGTCTATATGCAATTTCATATACTAGATATGGTGCCCTTCCCTTCCTCCCTAGCCCCTTATCATTATCACTCCTTTTCTTGTTGCTTTGGCAAAAAAGAAAGATGTGTTTGTCTGGAAAAGTTTTGAGCTATTAAATGGAGTTTATTCTCATTGCAGGATCTAGCAATCAGCCTGGCCTTTTAGCCAGTCACCCCCAACCAAAACCCCAGGCCCCTTCTGGTCAACCTCAACCCAAGCAGCCACAAGCTCCACCTACCCCACAGCAGACACCTTCCACTCCGGCCCAGGGTGTGCCCACTCAGGCCCAGGCCACACCCCAGCACCAGCAGCAACTTTTCCTCAAGCAGCAGCAGCCACAGCAGCAACCATCACAGCAGCCACAACAGCAACAACAGCAACCACCATCCCAGCAGCCAGTGGGCACATATTACCAGCAGCAGCAGCAGCAACAGCAGCAGCAGCAGCAACAGCAGCAGCAGCAGCAGCAGCAGCAGCAGCAGCAGCAGCAGCCCCAGGCTCAGCAGGTAAGGTCTGCTTTGCATAGTTGAATCATCACTGTGAAAAGCCTACTAAGTATAGCTGTCTTCCTTGGGGAAGCCCTGGGGAGACAGAGCCATAAGCACCACACATGATTTCTTACAGATGTAGACAGGGTAGCTTTGAATAGTAGTGCAGTCACTGGATCACTCAAACCCCTTTCACCTTTCTTGTCAGTTAGGAGAACTGTTTACATGATTGAGGAACTTCAGGGAAGGAGATATATTTTATGAACTCTTTTCCCCCTATTATAACTATAGCACCACTATCATGCCAAAACACAATTATATTAATTTTTATAAAATGTCCTGTAGGTTTAACTCTTTCTGATGTTGCAGAATTTAAGTTGGCTTGTTTCATGAGAGTCCAGACAAGGTCCATCTGTTATATTTAGTTGTGGTATATCTTTTTTTCTTTCATTATTTTTTCATGTATTTTTTTACCTTTTCTTATTATGAACATAATTATTTTATAGTGATTGATTAATCTTTTTTTAGTTCTCATATCTATAGGTGCCTTCTCTGTATTTTTCTCTTCCCCTTTGTCACTTTTTTTTTTTTAAATGACTGGATCATTTGTCCTATAAAATTTTCCACATTCTGGATTTGGCTAATGGCACCCTTATGGTGTCATTTAATATGTTCCATCATCCCATGTATAAACAGGAATTTCTTAAGGTTTAATCAATATTCAGTTCCGTTTGATAGTACTTTGTTGTTTCAATTGTATCACAATTGCATTACATACAATAGATGGTTGTCCTCTCTTTTATTAATATTAACATCAATCAGTGGGTTTGGTGTTGTCTGTCTTATCCATTCATTTAATATTCCCTGCCAGCTTAGCAGCCAATGCTTATCATTTCCTAAATCCGTTAATTCATTAGGCATGGCAAAATGGTGATATTCTAGCATCACTCTTCACTAAGGGCTAGAATTTTTCTATGAAGAACTTTTCTTATCACCTATTTGGTTACCCTGAGGTACTGTTTGTACAGAAGTGATAGGAAAAATGCATGATTCTTTCACTTTGTTTATCAGTTTTCAGAATGAATTTGTTCCTAGTGTTATCCAAAGATGACCAATGAAGATTTTGTTTTGCTATTATTATGAACCCTTGAATTTTACCATATTTGATATGGTATATTTCCATGCATTATAGTTTTAAAAATTTGTTTTGATGTTCAGATTGTCCCAATTTGGTGGAAGTCTCTTCAATTTGCTCCTGACTCCTTTGACTGTGACTCAGTAGTCTTTAATGGTTTTCCACTGTTCACGGTTACAAGCTGTTCCATACTTATTCTGCCCTTGACCTGAAATGAGACATTTCTGGAAGGAACTCTGTTTCCTGTTAATTGGAAATAGAATTCAGAGACTACAGTTTTGGTGCTAGAGTACTCATTTCCTAGTACGCTTGTTATTATTTTTAGACCTTTTAAGTGGATGGTTAGGAAATACGTTTTGTTAAGAATACCATGAATTCAAATTTTTATTCCAACTTCAGATTTGTAATTGTTACAGGGCAGCCCCGATATAAAACGGGTTGCCTGGCTGTGGGTCCTTACCCGTGCTCTTAAAAGGGACTTATTAATACTCCATTGCAGGCACATACAAAAGGTTAATAAAAGGTTTATCTACACGGGAAGGGGAAATGAGGAAATGTACAACACAGGGAGAAAATAGGGAAATAAAGTCTTAAATGCGTCCTACCCGATCCGCCGACCTGGAAACCCAATGGCACTCTGAGAGCTGGCCAAGAGCCGAGAGCTGGCGGAGAGCCTAAAGGGCCCCCGCAAGGCCCATGTGTCTGGTTTTATACCAAGCCTGGCTGCTTAACTCCATCCTCAGGTTCCAGCAACCTTCCCTTTGGTGGTGATGGGATTTGTCTTTCCCAATGTCCTGATGGCTTTGGTCTGGAGTGGGGGTGGAGTTCACAAAGCCTGTATGGAATTAGCTTAGGACATCCTTTTCCCCCTAACATAATTACAAGATTTTTGACTAGTTTTGTTGTAGAGCAACCCCGATACAAAACGGGGTGCCTGACTGTGGGTCCTCACCCGCGCGCTTAAAGGACTTATCAATGCTCTACTGCAGGCACACGTGAAAGGTTAATAAAAGGTTTATTTACAAGGGAAGGGGAAATGAGGAAATGTACAGCTCTGGGAGAAAAGTGGGAGACAAAGTTTTAAATGAGTCCTACCCAATCCGCTGATCAGGAATCCCAAAATGGCGCTCTCAGAGTTGGCCGCCAGGCTGGAGCGGTGAAGCCAGGAGGCGAGCGATCGCGAGCCAGAGAGCCCAAGGCCCACGTGTTTGGTTTTTATATCCAACCTGGCTGCCCAACTCCACCCTCAGGTCCCAGCCACCCTCCCTTGGTGGTGATGGGATTTGTCTTTCCCCATGTCTTGATGGCTTTAGTCTGGAGTGGGGGTGGGGTCCACAAAGCCTGTATGGGATTAACTCAGGACATCATTTCCCCCTAACAGTTTCTTGGATTTTATATTTGTATTTTTATCATCTGAAAATAGTGATTCCTAACAGCATTAACATAATTACTTAATTGATTTATAGTATGAAGATAACAGTACCAGTGTGGTTATTGAAAACAGTTCAAGATTTCTTTGCTCTTTTTTACCTTCAGGATCAGGACAGTTTTTTTTTTCCTCTAGGGAGTATGGCTGCTAGTTTAATACAAAGGTTTATTTGCTTTATTTTGCTTTTGATTGATTTTAAATTTTGTTTTGTGAAAATATAAAATATTTACATAGTTCACAGTTAAATCTGCAGAATTCTTATCCCCTCTATCCTATATATATAGATACCCTCATTCCTGTTTGCAATTTAGAGTTCCTTTTTTCATACATATATATATGTTTATGAAATATGTATATATCTATATATGGTACTATATAATATGTCAGTTTATAATATATATTTATAATATATATAATAAACTATATATAAAATATAGTTTATTTAGTCAGTCCGTTGTTGATAGACATTTATTTGTTTCTAGCATTTTGCTGTTACAGGCAACTGTTTATTAAAATTCTTCTTTACTAACCCTTTAACTTTGCCCCATTAAGCAAACAATATCTTCTCAGTTAATCCTGTAACAGGATTTGGGATGTTTGAGCTTAAGATACTGATTTTTGTTCATCAGCCCTTATTTGAGCTTTGTTTATGTACCTACTACACAGTCTTTAACAGTGGGGAGTAGAGAGACATATAAGAGTATCCCTATCTTCAGGAAATTATAAGAAAATATCATTAAGTATGATAGAGTATACTGAATATTTTGAGTGTTTAAAGATGGGAGTGTTTAGTAAAGCAGATATTGCTATTGGGAAATAAGTTCCAGAAAGGCTTGAGATGATGTAATCATTGGGTTCATATTTAGATTATTCCTTTCAGTGTCATCATTGCTTTATACTGTGAGTTTAGGAAAGCATTTTAATCTTGGCTACTTCTGAATCCCTTTAAAGAGAGTTTACTTCTGTGACTCAGAGATCCTTTATGGGCTGCTGTTACACTCTAGTATGTAGAGTCTCAGATGCAAAGGCAGATGGATACTCTCAGACTAGCTACATAAAGCTACTTGGAAGTCCAGTCTACAATGCAGAAGGCAGCATAGTGCTGGCAGCATAGTGAATGGAACCTGACAGTGTAAAGTGCTACTATGTTCATTTTAATGCCTTGAGATTCCCCTCATGAGTTTTTAGGCCAAACTAAATTATTTCCAGCTGTCCTTGCCTTTGGCCTCAGCTCTTTTCATAGTTGTTAGTGAGACGTTCATCTTTTGTGGAGTATCATTCTCAGACAGGCTTTTATTCACTCTGCATTTCTTGCACTTTGTCCTGCCCAGTTTCAGGCAACCCAGCAACCAGCAATTGCTCAGTTCCCTGTGGTATCCCAGGGAAGCTTTCAATAGCAGCTGATACAGAATTTCTACCAGCAGCAGCAGCAACAACAGCAACATCAGCTGGCCACAAACTTGCATCAACAGCAGCTGCTGACTCAGCCTACTGCCTTGCAGCAGAAGACCGCTGTGGCAGCAGCACAGCAGCCCCAGGCCCAGCCAGCCACAGCCCCACAGCCACCCCCTGCCTAGGAGCCAGCAGTAAGAATCAGCCAGGACTCAGCACAGAAGCAGAAAGGACTAGGGAATGGGTGGGAAGAGGGTGTAGCAACTACAAGGGGGCACTTTAGATAAGGGCTAAGCCTTTTCTGCATGATTGGGCTGAAATATTTGATCTTTTCTTGATATATCTAAGAACAAGATGAGGTAGTCTATAGAAGACAGGTTTTTAAAGAATCATTCTAGGCTGTTGCTGAAGGTAAATATTCTTATCACTCTAAAATTAGACCAGCAGAAAAAGCTGTTTATTTTCTCTGTCAGTGTCATATTGAGTGGGTAAGGAGTTAGATAGGATTAAAACTAGTCCCTTTTCCCCCTTCAAGGGGCAGTTTGACCACTATGACCTTTCCAGCCTATGAGAGACCTCCCTTTTACTCTGAGTCCTGTATTTGTTCTTTTTTTTGGACGACATTACTAGCCAACTCTCATGCAACACCCTTCAAGGGCCTGCTTGCCTAGGACCATTTGCCTAATCCCTCTGGGCACCAGAACATGTAAATATTGCTTGCGCCTTCTTGTCAATTGGGCGTGTCCGCTTCTAGATCTTAGCTGAGTACAGCATCAGAACCTCTACATCCTCTCAGATTGACCTCTACTTTTTCAGCATCCTTGGGAACATTGTTCTTTGATCTGATAAGCTCTCTTAATTCTCTACTCATGTTTTTCTGTAGAAAATTTTATAGTGATAGAAAAAGGCATTTTAGGTACCCAGCACATAGAGTATCCCGGGTACTCTCTTATTCCCCGGAAAGTCCAGAGCTACTAGATGAACAAAGGTAAAGTAAACCATCTTTCCGAGGATTGATTTCTAATAGTTTTCTTGTCTGCCTTAAGCCAGAAAACCTACATCCCTTCAAAAGGAAACAGTGCTCTAAATAGATTGTCTTACTTTAAGTCTAAGCTAAGTGTGTTCAGTGTCTTTACATCTTCATTTTTGAAACAACTCAGTCTTCCTGCAGGCTTGTGGTAGACAGCTACTCTGTATTTTTAACAACAGGTAAATTTTTTTCTTGGTTATGGAAAAAGAATTTAAAAAATATTGTATGAGATACAGTGTACTATATAAAAATTGCACTCCCTTTTATGATTATATATTTTATCTTATAGAAAAATCTTTAACAAGGTAGATATCTGAATTTGGTGAGATCTCAATTATCTAGTAAACTTTTCTCAGTTAATAGAATGAAAACCTGAACTCCAGACTAGAAAGTTATTACCTAAGACACACAGACTCATAGCAGCAGAGCTGGGGCAAGAATCTGAGGATCCTGACCTGGATTCAAGAGTAATAATAGCAAATGCTCTTCCAGGGTCTTGGAGTGATTAACTGCCACTGACTACTTCTCAGAGGTTCCCCTCTGCTGCCCCTGAACAAAAGTACCCACTTCCTTGGGAGTGAATTATGAACCATCTCCTTGTTCCTTAGATGAAAAAATTCTCTGAGCACTTTGTTCAGGGTTGGTTGGTTGTGGGACTGAGAAGGAGCACAACATGCTTCAGCCAGGAGGCATAGAGCTTCCAGCTCTGACCCATCCTCCAGTGACCCTTGGCAAGACTTAACTAGAGAAGCAAGTGAGTGAATGTAAACAATACTCTGCCGTATCTTAAAACATTAATCTGCAAAGATAAAGTTGGCTGTGCGCCAGTGGTATTTATTGCCATCTTAAAAATAGCCAAAAGAACGAGAACCTGAATTGTTCAAGATCCCAGCCATCCAGCCATTAAAAATCATGGGTATATGATTTTTATGAACAGTATGAAAATGCTCATAAGAAAGATGGGAAAGTATGTACTTCAAAAAAGACAAAAGATATAAAAGAGATAAGAACTGTTGTACTAGAGAGGTGGAGTGGAGGTCTAGGTGTTTTTTTCCTCTTCTGTCAGTATTCTTATATTTCTTGATGTGAATTGCACTCCCTTTTATAATTATATATTTTCTCTTATAGAAAAATCTTTAACAAGATAGCTATCTGAATCTGTCTTGCTTCCCTGTGGTCTGTCTTCCTCCTCCTCCTCCTTCCTAATCCCATCTTCGAATGAGGAGACATGTGGTACAGAAAAGAAGTCCTGAGCTATAATAACTGTCTCCTATAGTTACTGTTGCAGGTGTAACCTTGGACCCTGAAGGAAGTTGTGGGACGGGAACACTAGTCTTCTTTATAGAGCACTCTGCTTCTCCCTCAGAGATGCGGTCAGCTGCTTTACCCTCTAACCTAAGTTTGATAGATCATAGAACCTTCTATTCTATCATTCCCTATTGGTGAATAAGTTAGATATTCACATAGGCATATAACTTATCTCAGTAAAATTCAAAGTCTGAGTCTAAAGAAGTACAGAAATTCCTAAGCTATCAGCATCCTGACCCAAGTAGCTAAACACTCTGGTTTCCTTTCTCTCTCTCACTCAGGGCCTCCCTTTGAAACACACAAAAATGTGGGAACTAAGGTGCAGCACGGAGGGACAGCTCTAATCGGAGATGAGGGCCTGGTGGGAAGGGATAGGTAAATACCCAAGACATTAAATAGTCAAAATCATTTTATCTCTAGATTGATAGAATTAAAGGTTGGCTGGTTTAACATTATTTTTGTTCATTTTCTTGACATAGCACGTTGTAGATCATGACTTATGCTTAAAGATTAACCATGTGGCCACAAGGATATTCTCACCTTTTTGTTTTCCTATGACAGTTTGTCCTGCCTTCAGAAAAACACCCACATCACAGGAGAACTTGTATTATTAAATCAGTCTTCATCAAGGGCTTTTAAATTTTTTTTCCCCTTATTGTATTCTTTACCTGAATCTTCAGCACCATTTCCAAACTGAAGATTGGAACAAATTAATCCTCCTGCCCCAATGCTGTATATTTTCTCAGGGGTTGCCCCAGTAAAGAATCAACCAAAAAAGCCAGCACTACCACTTATTAATCACAGTGGATTCTGTCTAACTTATTCCTAACTAGTAGTCTAAGCTGTGTTAGAGAATCAGGGATCTCTCAGCAGAAATCTTTCAGTTCAAATGTGTTTTACCAGGAGGTATGTCTTCATTAGCTTCTGACTGTGGCGGAAGAAGTGTAAAGCCTGCCTGTTGGAGACATTCTGAATGAGTTCCTATGTGACCCCAAAAGCAGAAAGATAAGATACCTCCTAGATCTTTAGAGTTGGATATAGCTTCTGTGGTCATATTCTGGTTGAATTGCGTATGGTGACCCTTTATATTGTTGCTGATGAAAATTGAAATTTACACCTAAGTACCAAATGAATACCATATTGATACCAGTCCCAGAATTGCAGCTCTGAAGTTCACAAAATCTATTTTAATTTTCTTCTGAGTATTATTGATAAACTCAGCCATTTAGTCCCATGTTAATGCTCATGTGGCATTTTTTGTTACACTGGTACATTTGTTTTTCCTTTCTCCCCTTTTCCCCCCCCCCTCCAACCTTTTATGAAATACTTTTTAATCACTCTTCCCAGCAGATTCAAGCTCCAGGAAGACAACAGCCAAAGGTTCAGACAACTCCACCCCCTACTGTCCAGGGGCAGAAACTCGGATCTCTCACTCCTCCATCATCCCCCAAGACCCAGCGTGCTGGGCACAGGCGGATTCTCAGTGATGTAACCCACAGTGCAGTCTTTGGGGTTCCTGCCAGCAAATCAACCCAGCTGCTCCAGGCAGCTGCAGCTGAGGCCAGTCTTAATAAATCCAAGTATGTAGTGCTTCCTATTTATCCTTCATACTTTTGTGAGTGAGGGCTACCAGAGGCCATTACTGTGTGACTCTTTGCATATGTATGTAGCTTTTTGTGTAGAATTATGTGTAGTGGTATGCACTATGTTTAATAAGAAACTGAATTTGCCTGTAGTGTGTGGAACAAACTGTTCTAAAGAAACAATTTCCTACTTACTTTAGTTTCCCTTTTCTTATCCATTGCATGCTTTATATAGAGTGTTTTCTAAATTCTTGATCTAACCAATTCTCTATGTACTGAAGGTCTTGCATTGGCTCCCCATTACTTGTGCGATAATATCTAAACTCACTGGTTAACAAAGACCTGTTTTGTCACGTTGGTGGACTTACCAATATCCATCTTCACAGGCACTTTTGTCTTACGCCATCTCCCCAAACTGCTGTTGTCCTTTTTTTTTTTTTTAAGATTTATTTATGTATACAAGAGCTGGGGTATAGGCCAGAGGTGCAGGGGGTGAGAAGATTCACCAGAGACAGAGTAGAGAACAGAACAGGCAGATTGACTGAAATACACTGCTGAGGGGAGCAAGACAGGAGAGGTCTGATGCTCCACAAGGGTAGCTCCCTGTCCGGGATTGAACTCATGCTGTGCTGCAGTGGCTTCTGATAGCTTCATAGTGCTACAACTTAACCCTTGTGCCACCAGGGAGGCCCCTGCTGTTGTCCTTTTTGTCCACCTCAGAAATGCTACTGTATTTATCAACATGAATGTCAGAAGTCACTTTCCTTTGGTATTTCCTCTGGTATCAAATACAATTTTGTCTGAGCTTTTTTTTTTTTTTTTGATCATGTCACATGACATTATCATTATCTGTGTTATCTAGTGACATAGCCTGTGAGTTCCTTCAAGACAAGAACTGTGTCATAACCTCTGTAAATCCAGTGACTTACTCTGTGCCTGACAGAGTGTAATGAGAGATTGTTGAGTGAATGCAACTTTCCACCCTCAGTTTTCTTGGAACCATGCATTCTAAAGTTTTAAAATCTTTATATCATTAGCTAAATGCAAACAGTATTAAGAAAGATGTTTGAAGAAAATTAGGTAACAATACCTAGAAGCACAAGAGAGTGACTTCCTTTATTTCTCTTTAATTGTGATCATGACCTCTGATGGTGACCTTTCAGTCCTATGATTACTACACCTTAAGAGATGGGAGGCAGCCTGACTAGGCTTCAGGTCCATCCCCTCCTCAGCCAGTCATTGTGCTTGTTACAGTGGTCACCCCATGATGCATGTGCCTTAGAATAGGTTGCTTTGGGATCCTGAATTGAAAGAACTTGCAGTCAAGACCAAAAATCCAAGCAAGAGATTAATTAAAGGAGTTGTGGGAGGAAGTGAATCATGAAGAAGAGGGAGAAATTTTGTTTCACACTGTGGAAAGGGTGTCTGTAGAAACTGCTCATTTGCTGTGGAAAGGCCTTTTAGAAACACATTATGGAACATAATGGATTGATTCAGAAAAGAATTTGATCTTGAAACAGAGAAAGTAGGTTGACGCTTTTCAACTTTTGTTTGTTTTTTTATTTCTCGGGGATGGGAACCAACCTAGGTCTGCAACCACCACTCCATCAGGCTCCCCTCGGACCTCCCAGCAAAATGTTTATAATCCATCAGAAGGTTCTACATGGAATCCATTTGATGATGACAATTTCTCCAAACTCACAGCTGAAGAATTGCTAAATAAGGATTTTGCCAAACTGGGTGAAGGTGAGTAATTGGTGTCTATTTGTGATATTTGAACTTTATCTCTAGGGGGATATGCATGTGAAAATATAAGCTTGGTTCAGTCTTTTCATCAAAGGCTTAAGTTGAAAATATGCATGCAAATTGATACATACATTTACCATGTCACTAAAGTTTTTTTATCCTCCAGAAATTCTCATCTGTTGTGGCAGCAGGGAGAGATTGCATAGATCAGGATGATAGTGTCAAGTATGGTCACTCCTTGGAGGAGCATGATAGTTCCCTTGTCTTAAGTGGGTTTGTTATCCCAGAAAATTGAAATGACTTGCTCTTGAGTTTGCCCTTACATGGGCACTGAATTTTCTTCTGTGATCAGAGTTCTGTACCATTGTTGACTTGCTACAGAGAAGAGATCAAATAAATAGAAGGTGCCATTTCTGCCTATAAAAATTCAGAGTCTAATTTCAAAAACAGGGGACACACACTTTGGTAAACAAACAACACACATCTGGGAAAATTGTACATGATATAGTTTATAAAGACTACGGCCCTGCAGATGAGAGCACAGCGTAAAGAAATGATTAGAACCAAATGATTGATAGAAACTTTGACCAAGCATTTTAGCTCTCTTATTTTATGAATATCTTTTAAAACGCTATATTACTTTCTCACCTTTTAAAACAAAAAAGAGGGCATGTGATTTAACTTCATTTGACAACAGATTGTCAAATTGTTTCATTGTTACATACACCAGATAGTGTTTTAGAGTTTAAAAGTTCTAGAATATAAATAGAAAACTGTAGTATTTTTGCACTTCATAACAAGATTCCCAAAGTTTTAAAATCTTGTGTCTATTTTTAATAGACATTTAATAATGATTTTGCCCTCTCGCCTTCTTTGTTATTGTCTCTGTCTCTCCTGGCATTTCACTATTGCCATCACCACACTCTTATCATGTGTTCTGCTAAACTCTTTTCAACCTGGAATGCTCATCACCAAATTCATTAGAATTATGTAAAAATAAATAGATGACGATTAAGGGCTAGAGGCATTCTACCCTATGTAATGTGCTCAAGCGTTAGGGCTTTAGCTCTGACTGTCTCTTGTTGCTTTTCATTTACTTGTTTAAATTTTTTGGCAAAGTATAAGGACCATAAAAATTACTATCAACCGTTTTTAAGTGTACAGTTCGGTAGTGTTAATTACATTCACATTACTGTATAACCAACTGCCAGAACACTTTTTCATCTTGCTCTTGCAAAACTGATTTTTTTGTCTCTTGATTCTTAAAACTTCCTTGCCTTTTTCAGCTGTTCTCTCAGTTATTGCAAGGACTAGACAAAGACTTTCAATAGCTGAGGTGTTGCCATGATACAGTAAAAGAAGTCAAGGCTAGAAATCATTGCCTAGGGTGCCCTTCACTTCCAACATTTGTGGGTCCACCTTGAGATTCTCGGTGAACTGAATGGTGTATTCCCCCTCTAGGCAAACATCCTGAGAAGCTGGGGGGCTCAGCTGAGAGTTTGATCCCAGGCTTTCAACCAACCCAAGGTGATGCTTTTGCCACTTCCTCGTTTCCTGCTGGAACCGGTTAGTATGGGCAACACCTGAAACACAAGGCTCATTGTTGCTACCTCCATGCTATTTTTACTCCACAGATAACTCTTGCATGGCAGGGAAGTCCAAATCCTGATGGTAACTTATGCTTTCCTTTATTCAAAAGATTTAAAGAGGAAAAAAATAGGAATAGAGGAAAACCCTAATCAAATGAATTAAAATGACAGAATGACCTGGCTATAATATATAGGATGTGTTCCTGGTAGTTTGTGGACATGTTTTAAGCAAATATTTCTAAATTTGTACTTGAGGAACACCACTCTGTAAATCTCTTGTAATTGTGTAGGTTCTTTGGAGTGATTGGAGGAATTATAAGAATTAGATATTCTGTCTTACATCTGAGATTCTACTGAACTGCATATGTGTGTTATACACACACTTACAGGAAAAGGGAGGTATCTTTTTAAATGAGACTTTTTTATTTATTTATTTTTTAAATTAGAGCTTTGGGAATTTTTTTTAAAGATTTATCCATTTATGCATACAAGAGCTGGGGTACAGGCCAGAGATGCGGGGGTGAGAGGATCCACCAGAGACAGAGTGGGAAACAGAACAGGCAAATTGACTGAAATACACTGCGGAGGGGAGCAGCCGGCAAGACAGGAGAGGTCTGCTGCGCCCTGTGGGTTTCTCCCTGGCCAGCTGGGGATCGAACTCATGCTGCAGAGGCTGTGGATTGCTTCATAGTGCGGTGCTTAGCCCCTTGTGCCACCAGGGAGGCCCCTAAATGAGCTTTTTAAAACAATTATAAAAGCAATAATAAAAAACTACTTTTCCCCTTTATTAATAAAAATTACACATACTTATTATGTAAAACTTAGTAATTTACAGAAACGTATAGCACAGGGACACCACTTTGATGTCTGTTACTGACATTTAATCTTTCTAGGATTATCGGTATATTTGCAAGTGTAATGAAAATTATAGATCCCCTCTCACCAAAATATATCACCACAATACATAATTTTCAGCCTCAGCTTAGGACTTTAATGTGCATCTATATAATTATATTATAAAACTTAATTTTTTCACTGGCTCATTTCCCCCACATCATTAAAGAAACTCCTAAAATACAATTTTTAAATATTTGTATTGAATTCCTTTATATGGATATATCCTAATTTATTTAGCCAAGTGCCTTTTTTAAAAGAAGGCTTTCTGTAACACAGTTTGTTATTTATTTTATAAATGTCCTATGGGAATTAGTAGTAATAAATCACACCAATAAATATGAACCCAAACATGCTTTTTAATGGAAGAACAGTAACCTATAATATTTAATGTCCCCTTTGATGAATATTTAAGTTCTTAATTAATTTTTCAGCATATAAATAATCTTGAAACAACATTTTTGTTTATATCCTTTAAATTTCTTTGTGATACTTCTGAGAGATTTGCAGAATCATCAGATATGTGTATGTGAATAATTTTGGTAGATATTTCCCAATTGCCCTTCAAAAAAGCTACCTAGACTTTATTTCTCTCACTCCCCACTTCCCTTTTCTCTGCCCAGCCCAAGTCAGAGACTGTAAGCAGATATTTACTGGCCATTTTTATTTCTTTTGGGATTTGTATTCTTCATATCCTTTTTCTTTTAAAAAAATGTTCTTTGTTCATTTCGTTTTTATTAATTTGTAAGACATATATGGTATGTTACATGTTGTAAATATTTTCCCTAGTTTTTCACTATTAGATCATCTAACTCTCAACAACCCTTTGAAGTTGGCCCATCTTCCCCATATCAGTTACAGTTGTGGTAGCAGGTACAGATCAGTCTGTTTTCCAGGGTCACACAGCTGCTAAGTGCAGAGCTGGGACACAGACCCTCTGGCTCCAGAACTTGCTTTCTCAGGTTTTCTGCCACGAAGTTAATTTTTGCCACTAATATACTAGACAAAATTAGTAAAATTTTCCTTGAAAATCAAATGCAGGTTTAAACTTTTTAAAATAGAACAATATGTTTAAATCTTTTATAATATTTTCTTTGCATACATCAATTTTAATTGCATGTATTTGTGTTACTTTTTTTTGCTAACCCTCTCTAGAAGTTTGCTCTTTTATAATCATTCAAAGACAACTCTTAGGGCCTCCCCGGCGGCGCAGCAGGTTGAGCACAGCGCTGTGAAGCTCTCCGCAGCCTCTGCAGCACTAGTTTGATTTCCGGCCAGCCAGGGAGTTACCCACATGGCGGGACAGACTTCTACTGTCTCGCCTGCTGCTCCCCTCAGCAGTGCTTTCGGTCCATCTGCCTGTTCTGCTCCCCGCTCTGTCTCTGGTGAATTCTCTCACCCTCCCGCACCTCTGGCCTGTACCCCAGCTCTTGTATAAGAAAATTTAAAAAAAAAAAAACTTAAAAAAAAAAGACAACTTTTAGGTTTTTAAAATTTCCTGTTTTTCTCTCTTCTAATTCTTTAACTTTCACCTTTATGTTTTTGATTCAGTTTCCTGTTTTTCTTATATTTGCTTTGTTGATATCAAGAGGATCACGTACATTTTTAAAACTTTTAAAAAATATAATGAAGATATTTAAATTTTTTCTCTCTATATTAGTGATTTTCATCCAACATGTGAGAGGGAAGGGAGGCTAATTATAATCTCCAGGAAGATTTTTCATAGATACTACAGTAATCTCTTTTCTCCTTTTCCTTTCAATTGCCCCACCCCACCCTAAACTTTGAGGATTATACTGTTTATCAGGAGTGCTCTCTAATAGGTGTGTGTTTTCCTTGTAAGAAAATGCTGGAGTCTTAATCATATCCCATAAGTCTTTATATGATTTTCTCAGTATGAATATTTTGGTTTAGACATTGGAGTTACATGGAAGGCATGCTTTTTAATATTAAGTGGATTAAAATTTTTTGGTTTTTTTTTTAATCTTTGATATCTGATCTACGTAATTTTTAAATTTATTGATGTTTTGCTCAAGTTTAAAAATTTTCAAGAGCTGTTCTTGATGCTTGAAGTTTTCATATGCCACATAGTTGACCAGATGTACCAAATATACAAAGTATTGACCATTGTCCTTGACATAGATGATCACAGTGATGACCAGCTGTGGTGCAGGGTAGGGAGTCATGCAATAAGCTCTAAGAGAGTCTTCTTTCTTGTTGAATTCCAAAAGTGTGCATACTGTATTTGGCTTACTGTACAGATTGGTTGAATAAATCAGATGGATTTCTTTTTGCGAAAAGATAGCAACTTGGATTCATTTTACATTCACCCCCACTTTTAATGCATAGTTCTTATTTATCACACATGGTTATGTTTTATTGTTTGTATCAGCTGTTTTTTGAAGTTTGGAGGTTTTTTATTTGTTTTGCTGCTTCTTTCCCTTTATATTTACTTTGAAGATTATAAAAGGCAGCATATTTTTCAAAGGATTTAAAGGCCCAGTCATAAAAAAGCACATATTTTCATTAAGTTATGACTACAATAATAGTGAACATTTATTGCTAATAAGTCCACTGAATAAGTGCTTTTTTGTACATTATCTCAGACAGTGGGATTGTGAGGTGAAGTGAGAGGTTAACCACAAGAGGTTAAGTCACAGCTGGAGAATGTCAGAGTAGAGATTTGTATCTGGGCAGCCTAGCTTAGAAGATGCAATCAGAACCACTCCACAGGAATCTTGTAAATCAGTAGCTCTAGACTTTTACATAAAACACTGCAAAGTGTCTTCATATTTTTCTCATTTTATCCAGCATTGTTTTATGAACATTGATATTTTTCCTTCCTTCTTGTTTATGATGTGAATTTTTTTTCTGTGACACCTTCATTCTACACAAATGAAAGGGGATTACATCTAAATCCCAGAAATTAATGTGTGTTCATTTGTATTCAGTGCAGGATAGCACTATTTTCTAATTTTAAACCTTCATACAATAAGCAGCAATGTTGGTAATGATTCAAGGAGGATGGGACAGCATTATTTTTAACATTTTTATTCTAAAAGCTGCAAAGTTGTTGATGAGCTGTGTCTATACATTGGAGGAGAATTGCGTAGATATTAAAAACTTGACATTGTGCTTGTTAATTTAAAATAGTTTCTCTTGACAACTTATACACATAAATATGTGAAAATTTGGAAAAATGATTGAAATCCCAAAGAAGCCACAAAAGAACTCATGACCCCATTCGAAGGGAAAAGCATCACTGACATTTTGCAGTATTTATGTCATAATTTTATTTCTGCCTGTATACATTGTTCAAAATGAATTATATATTCAATTTTATAATTTGTTCTTTAAATATATTTCATTGTGTCCCATTTACAAATATTGCAGAGCCTTTAGAGCAGTGATTTTACCCTTCTCGTCCTCTGGCTTACCTTTAAAGAAGCTTAGTTAAAAATCACTTTAATAACATTCTCCAAATGACAAAATTATAGAAATTGAGAACAGATTAGTAGTCTCCAAGGCATGGGGATAAGAGTAAGGAGTGGGTGGGACTGTGAGGGAGTATATGAGGGAGGTTTTGTTTGTTCTGTTTTTGCTGGAGCATTTGTGTATTATTGTTGTGGTGGTACTTATGCTGATCTACAAAGAACATCAAATTGCAGGGAACTATGCACATGCACAGAAATGAGTGCATGTGAAAATTGGTGCAAACATAATTAAGTTTTATTAACTTTACTAAACAACTGTCAGTGATATTTGTACGGCAGCTATAGATCTTAGTATTGGGGAAAGCTGGTTGAAGCGATCATGGTATTCCCTGCACTAGCAGCTTCCTATGATTCCTTAATTATTTCAAAATAAATTTTTTTAGCCCACTTTACAGCAGTCAAATTCTGAGTTTATTAATCTCAACTTTAAAATGCAATTTTAAGAATGGTAAATTAGATACCAAGAGCCTTGTGTTTTGATCCTGTCTCTGGTGGTGCCTTTTGGCTGGTCTCTTCTAATCTTTGTTTTCTTGTCCAGAAAATAATTGTGCTAGAAAATCCTAAGATCCCTTCAAACTGATAGAATATA